CGAAACTATTCCATAGATTGCGACAAAAAACTAGGCCCATTAATTATACTCTCTGTTAGGGTATAAAAATAGAGACAGAGAAAGAATGACCAAGCGAGAGAGCGTTCATGCGTCAGAGGCTGAAAACTATTGGCAGAAAACTCGTTACACAAACAAAACGCACCTGCCAATCACTCACACAGTCACAAAACGGCACTGAGAAAAGCTCAAGAGCCCAGTAAGTGAACCCAGAAACCGAACCGGCAAAACCAAGCTACCTCAATTTCGGCCTCTGCTTCTACGAGATTTTTTTTATTTTGAACGAGCGCAGTCGCAACTGTGTATTGAAGAGGGTGGAGGAGAGGGGGGAGGGGCCGGGGTCGAGGGTGGGTGTGAAAGTGTGAGAGTGTGACTCATGCTGGTCTGGCCATACTAAACGCAGATAAACGAGACAGCTGTAGGCCCTGCTCGCACTCGCGGGTGGATACCTCTCATAAAGAGACGTCTATAACAGAGAGATTCCCTTAAGAAAAGGGGGAGAGAGAAGAGCGCAGTAGGATCTGTAATTAAAATCCTTTTTATAAGAAAGCAGTAGCTAGGGTTTGGAAAAAATTGAACATATATGGACATATATGAACATGTTTGGACAAGGGAAGAGACAGTACAAAGAAATGTAAGGCAGGTCATAATTAAATGATTAAATATTGAATTAGTGCTCTAGAAGCGATTTAACCTTCAATTAAATGTAATTTTTAAGTTAAACATCGATAAAAATTACAGTTACGCACAAAAATGATCGAAATGGAAGAGCAACCAAAACATAACACGACTTGTAGGGCTATTAAGCCTCGATCACCACCCTTCCCAACTCCAGATATGCGACTTTGCATTTGACCTCAATTACAGGGCGAGGGAGATGGTGATATATAGTCTTCTCCAGTAAGTAAATACTGGATACTGGAGATCGTTCTTTTATTGTCACTCCTTGTGCGTTGGTTTACTTTTGGTGGCCAGGCAATTAATTAATTAAAATGTAATTTATGTTTGCTGTTTCCAGCAACGACATTTATTTGTTTTCGAAAATTAAAAACAATTATGAAGAGAACAGAACCGAACCAGAACCAGAACCACCAGAGCACCAGCACCATTACCACAAGGAAAACCAGTTGCTTCTTAATTATCAAGAGGCACAACATAAAGTAGAAGAAAGACAAGACAGACAATCTTCAGAGGGGGGCAATGAGGTGGTGAAAAGAAACGAGAAAGGCGGAAAGATGGAGATGGTGGGGAAGAAAGACCAAGACTTCCAGCCAGACTTTGCTCATTAAGAATGACTAAATCTTTCTTAAACTCGACTTTTTTTGTGTCATACAGAGTAAAAACTATGATAGACGAGAGAATGCCCTATAATTGATAACTAAGCAGATGCTTAGGTATATAAACCCTTTAGTAACAAAGAAATTCCTTAAATTAAAGGTTCAGCATATCAAAAGAAAAGAATGTACTTAGTAAGGCTTAGGCCCAAAGGAATTCAAACAAAAAAGCATGCTTGACCTGAACAACTTTTTAGAAACTCCACTCTCTACCCCGGAATCTCGTCTCAAATGTTTTCCAACCACTTGAGGAAGAACTTAAAGACACAGACATGCCACCATCGGTGGAGACAACGATGAAAATTAACGCAAATAGAGCTGGGGAGCTCAAGGACTGGCATGAAATAAAAGGAAGCTGGTAAGATAAAAGAGAACTTTTTTATTTTCTCACTAGCACGGCTCTTGAAAAATGTGAGAAAATCCGAGAAGTTCTCTGCTCTCCAAAAAAATCATTAAATTTTAATATTATGATTTAATGTTTGATTGGCAACTGGAAAGCCAAGATAACTATCACACCAAGGCGAAAAAATAAAGATTTAATAGCCATGGTAACAGCTTCAAAGGTCTTTAATCTTTTAAAACTCAGTCTAAGGATTATGTTGTCCCTTTTTTATATGCTTTTATAAAAAAAAATACATGTTCGGTTAACTCCAGCTTTTGGCCAAGTGACATAAATACCTGATGAGTCACTTGATGATGGGCCTCTGAAGTGACCCAAGGGCCCACACGCCTATACTAAAGTGAATAGGCCTGGGAAAGGTCTCGGCCAAAGCTTTGTGTCAGCTGTTTCCCGGTATAATCCCATCGATTTGTTTGACAGGCTTTTTACCGAACGACGCATTCACCCCCCAAACCCAACCCAACCATTCCATTACCAGAACATTTCGTCTCGTTCTTTGATTCAAGCATGACTGGCATCTAATTTAATTAGATGAAATTTTCACACTATTGGTTTTTGTGTTTTCTGCTTTTGTGCAAAGCATGCTTTTTCTTGAACATGTGCAGTTCTGGAATTTAAAAGGGAATTTGCCAAGGGAAGTATTTTACCGAGCGGGTCTATAGAATCCTGTGAACTCCAGGGTTCTAGTTGGTTTAAATAGTCTGTTCTATAAGAAATTGTATTCTTAATTCTGACAAAGCATGCTTCTTCCCGAACAGTTTAAGAATTTACAGTTTAAGAATCTAAAAGAACAAAGGAAATCATTCTTTCGGTCAGGTTCTTTAGAATCCTTTAACTTTGAAGTTCTAGTTGGTTTGAATAGTCTTTTTTATAAGAAATTATGTTCATTATTGGTTGTTGGGTTTTGGTTTTTGAAAAAGCATGCTTTTAAGAATTACAAACTGAAAGGGCAAGCGTTTGTCAGGGCAGGTCGTATAGTAAGAATCTGTAAGAAATCGTCTGATTAGTGGTTATAATGTTCCTGATTTTTGGCAAAGCATGCTTTTCCTAAAAAATGTACAATTTAAGAATTTTAAACAGCAAGGGCCTATAGAATCCTGCCCCTCCAGAGTTCTAGTTGGTTTGAATAGTGTGTTCTATAAGAACAGGGGGCTCTAAAGTGACTACTTTTTGAAAAAGCATGCTTTTCCTCTTCTTCATTTTACAATTGGAAAAGCATTCTTTTCCTCTTCGTTATGCATTTCTACGATTTTTAACTGCAGTGGCATTATTTTGTAGGAAATTTATACGAAATTATTAAAACAGGATCCAAATCAAAACAATCGTCACTTAAAGTTTGACAAGTTTCTTTAATTTGTTTAGCAGCACACTTATTCTACTAATCGCCAGCAATCTTTTGGGGCCTTTTGGCTTTTCTACGGCCTGCAGCACCCACACGCGAAAGCACCCGCCCACTCCCACACACACACTCTCGTGGAGGGGGGCTAGAAGAAGAGCCAACGATTGACAGTCGACAACAGCCTAATGACGTCACCGACAGTGTGTATGTCCGATGTCTGGATGTACGAGAGCGTAGTGTAGTATAGTACTTGTAGTGTAGTGTTTGATGGGGGGGAGGTCTCTTGGAAGTCTGGAAGTCGTTGTCGTTGTGTGCTTTGCTTTAATTTCGCTGCGCTCGCTTTTACATTCACATTCTTTTATTTTTTTTGCTAAATCCGCAATTTGTCCTTGTTTTTATGTGCCACAGCTGCTGTTGTCCTCCTCTCCCTCTCGCTTTCGTTGGCTTTTCATCAGCGCTTTCTTGTGTTATTATTATTATTGAAGCTACTTTTCGCCGCCACACGCAACTCTCAGCTTTCCTTCCCAATACTACAGTATGACCTTACTTGATAAACAATAGGCCCTATACCCTAATACTTCTATTATAGCCAAGCTATACTGTATTTCCCCTTTCAATGGGGACAGGTGGCAGCCCTGGCCTGGCCTATGTTACAGTTATGTGGCTTGTTATTCTTGTTGCCAACTCAAAATTTAGGTTATCCCAACGTTAAGAGCATACCCCTTGGCCCATGCCTCATGCCCCTATGCCCCATGCCCCGGCCGACTTGCAACAATTCTCTCTCCCCCTTTTTTTTTTTATTCCAGAGCTCTGCTATTAAATAATAAAAAGTAATACAAGTTTACGTGTGTGTTCACGGGTTGGCTGGCAACAAAATTACGTTAGTTTGGTTTTGTTAGTTGGTTTTTGGAATATTTTGTTTGGAGAGCAAGCGGCGTGTAAAATAAAAGTAGTAACATGGTCATAGTTTGGGTCTTTCATTCATAAACTTTTATAAAATAGGGTACTACAATTATACCACCAGGGGATAGATATAAAATACTAGTTTATAACTCCCCTATAGGGTGTCATTCACTGGAGAAGACTCCAATTTCATAGAGACTGTCCTATAAGCGCAACTAAAACACAATTACACGGAAAGAATAAGGCATAGGCAGCCTAGAAATGTCAATAAACGCACAGCACATCATTAACTGAGGCAACAGTGACAAGGACTTCTTTAAACCCCCGCCTCATAAAAAAAGGAGGTCGTACCAACAACAAAGTACCTATATAATATATTTAAAATGTGCGTAAGAGTGTGTGTCACTTTCCGCTTCCGTACACAACCGTTCGAAGGCATATGTATTGGGAAACTATGTACATATGTATTTCGACGATTGAAAACCCATTTCATTCACCTCTGCTCCCGGAGCAGGCCTTCCTCATTTGCCAAACAACGCGATGCCAACAGGGGCAAGAAGCAGAAGCTGTGGCGGCAGAAAATAAAATCAAAATCAAACCAAACACACACGAGTTTAAATAGAAACATCCTCTTTCTAAAAATAACATGTGTTTTTTGCCAAAAAAAAACTAAAGAAAGCCCCAAGCAACAACTTATTTGAACTTTAAAGAACACAATGTGGTTTCTTGATGTTTGGAGAAGCTTAAATTGATTATAGAATTATATAATAGAGAAGTTATTTGTTAAATGTTAAAGTTTTTAACTTATACATGTGCTTCAAACTACAATAATTATCAGCCTTGATAATCTTATCGCAAATAATCCCTAAGAGAGTCATTCTTCTTTAGGCTTATCAATGAAAGAAATTCTAGGAACCATTTAATTTTATTTCGGCCATATGTAGGAGGAAGTGATGCATCCCATACATAAACAGGCCTCTAGTAGCCTATAGTATAGTAAACTCACCTGGCTTGCCTTTCGCGTCTCTGCATTTTGCTGGCTTTGATGATGAATCCCTCGGCCCCTTACTTTGAATTTTGACTCAAAAGTCGGATCGCCTTTTCCAGAATTTTGATAATGACTGAATTTTTGATTGGCTGAAACTGCTTCTCCTTTCTTCAAATGCTTTTGAATTTGCTGCACAGAATCTTGAATTCTTGAGGATCTATTGGATGCGTGCGAATTGAGCAAAACTATCTGCTCCACACACACGCTCACTCACTTAGGATCCGCGCATGTCGCGCATGCGTACACACGTGAGATCCTCACTGCCCTCTCGCGGGTGGTGACCAAGTGACAGGTGTGTGTGTGTGTGCGTCTCTTTCCGCCCGCTAGCGCGCTGTCACTCCTCCCACCTATCGGCGCTAGCTCGCAATGGTTCCTCTTCCTTTTCCCGCTTTAGCTGTTGTTGCTGTTGTTATTGCTGTTGTTGTGGCTGATGCTGTGGGATCGTCGTTGTTTGACATTAAGTATTGATTTTGAGCAGCATCTCTTTGAATTTTCGGTTTTATAAATTTTGAGTGTTCTTTTTTTTGATTAGGATCTGTCTGTGTGTTGAGCTGTGTATGTGCCGTGTAGGTATGTGTTCATATGTCAAAAGGCGGGCTATTTGTTGTAAAAAATTGTATTATTCTATCGCTTGGTAGTCTGTTTTTTCTTTCGCTTGATCTTGGTTGCTCCTTCTCCTGGCTGTTGTGTTGCTCGCTAGCTCCCGGCTTGATTGAAGCTAAGCTCCTCCGGCTTCAGTATCTGGGCTTTGTTCCGGTTAATGGCAAAAGCAAAGTAGCAAGGGCTGTGTTAAAAGGAGAGGAAAACAGTCTCGTGCTACGCTGAATAACTAGGTGAACAAATAATTTTGGCTAAACAATTTGACAAACACACTTTTGCACATTTTATCCAACAGTTCGTGTGACAACGAAATCCAATCCGAACTCCGATTTTATTTCAGTTTTTCTTCCTTTTTTTTCAGTCAACTATTGACATGATAGGCAAAAGTATTGCGGTGATGGCGAACGACGAAAATAAACAAAATTTAAATATATATAACAACAAACAATTCTGCGGTGTGTAGTTAAATTTTTAGTTATTTTTAACAATTTAACCGGTCAGTAAACTTTCAACGATCGCACGCTTTAATCACTTATAGCACATTCTTTCCACGGCTGCAAGTAAAACAAATGAGGTTTTAATTAGTACTAGAGAATTATAATAAAAATTAAATTTAATCTTAAGATTTTCGGCAAGGTCTTAGTCTCGTTACGGTATTTTTTCGGTATGTTGGGCCTGCTGATATTGGAGCTGGCCACACTAGTTGGCGCTGAGAGAGTTAGCCGAATTTGTCTTTGCTCATTGATTTTCATTTATTTTATTAGGTTATTAATATCTATGGATTATAAAATCTATAGCCTCTTTCCGGTTCCATTTTTGATAAATATGGGTGTACTTTTAATATCAGATATGAACTCATTTTATCTGATCACACTAGGAAATTAGGCCAATTAGGTTCGTGGCCTACACCACGTAAAATTCTTTTAAAAACATTTTGGACGCAAGGTCAAAGTAAATATTTCCGTACGTGATTTTTTTTATTTTTAACTATTTTCACGTTTTGTTATTTGATGCAAAAAAGAACTCATTTGCGGCTACCAACTGACTGACTGAGACAAAAGTGAGCGAGTGAGAGGGAGAGAGAGAGAGCGACTGAGCAAAGACTCAGAGAGGGTGTAACTACTCGACTTTTGGCCATATTTTTTTTCAATGGGCCGCCTTTCTGCCAACGCATCATAATTTAGCGGTTTCTTTGATTTTCTTTTGATTTAATAACTTTAACGAATAATTAATTCGATTGCTTCATATCGAAAAATTACCTTTTAGACAGTTTTGCACGCATTTTCACTACGCCTCATTTTTTCACCCATACACTCACACGCACGCACGCACAGACACAGTTACACACGGTCGAACCGAATTAAATTTGCAATTCCAATTGCTCTCGCACAACTTTGATCTGTGCGCTAATCGGGTATCGTCTTGTGGCGCTGCGGTTATTACTTAATTCACTACTTTTTACATATTAGCATGCTTTTATTTTGTTCGATTTTTAATTAAACTGTTTCCAATAGACCAAAACGCACGCAAGAGAGCACGAGAAAAATGGTGCGATTTTTTCCCTTTGCTTACACACACACACGCTCCAAAACGAACTGGTGTAACCGGGCAGGTCGAATACGGAAATACCGCAAAAGCGATTTATACCAAATGGTTTTGGATTATTTTTTTTAGAGTTATTCTTAGGTTTCTTTCTTTTTTATTTAATCATATATCTTTAATTAATTTATATTTAATTTTTAATCTTAATTTAGTTAAAAGGGTAGTTATTTTAACAAAAGTTAAAATAATAGAGTTGATCTACTAAAAAAATACCGTTTCTTGTCCTCGATAATATGCCGGCAACTAAACATGTTTTATGAAAGGTCTTAAGGTTGTTAGTATAATATTTTCCTTAAAAGTTTATCATTATAAACAGCAGCCATGTCTTAAGAATTTAATTATTACATAAAAGTAATCTGAACTTTTTGTATATTTCGGGAATTTTTATCAGACCGCAGTGTTGTCGCTTTGGCTATTTCCAGCCGCTTTAAAAGTAGGAAGATTAGAATCCATAAAAACTAATAATCACTGGATAAAGTGGTATAACTCAATAGAAAAATGTATAGTTCTTAAATTTAGCTATTATTATTACACGTTAGATTTTAAAAATGTAAAAATAATATTATTTAAACACTTTTACCTAAAAAAGACCGTTAACCGGAGTAAAAGTATTTTTTTGGCGGCAGAATACCAAATAATACCACAGAAACTGCAACACGTGCGAGTTTCGCTCTCTCTCTCTCTCTGGACAGTAAATAATTTATAATTTTCTTGTGATTTTTAAATATATCAACAGAATGGTAAAAGTTAAAAGAAACGCTGTTAAGGTATGATAAATTGCACAAGTATAGAAGTCGATACCTTAAGTTTTAACTCATCACTCTCCAGCACGACGCAAAGAAAGCCGCTCGAAAGGATTCTACAGACTCTGTTGTGGAGCATGACTCTCCGGATGAGGATCAGAGTGACGTCGAGCAGGCTGCTTCGAGTACCGATGATGGCTTTGAAGAACCTACTCCAGTTAAGAAGAACCCGCTTCCCACTTCTGCTACCCAGTCCAAGACAAAACCAAAGAAAAACAAATTCAAAGATGAGGCCAAAAATGTGAAGCCTCCAACTCTAGAGGAGATGAAGGAGCTCCGCGACACCCGCAACTTATTTCACTCCAACCTTTTCAAGCTGCAGGTGAAAGAAATGCTGGAGGAGCTGCAGCTTAAGACAAAGTATTCAGAGTTCATTGACAACTGGCTGGAATCCTTCACTGCCTTCACCGCACAGCTAAAGAGCGGGCTTATGGAGGGATCCAATTTGGAAGTGCCCTTGCGGTTGCCTCAGAAGGCAACTGGGTTCATGTTCAATAAGCCTACGAGGGATCCATATCTGATCGGAGCCTCGTCAACAGGCACTCTTCTGGGCCCCAAAATTGTAGTGGACGTGGCTCTGGAAATGCCCATAGAATCCATTCACAAAGAGGACTACGTGAATCTGCGCTACGATCAAAGGAGGGCCCTGTACTTGACATATGTCACGGAGAGGATGCGGGAGTATCCGGAGTATGCCCAGGATCTGTTTTCCTTTAATTATTTTGCAAACAATCCCTTGAAGCCCGTCTTGGAGCTTACGCCTGCGGCCAAACAGGTGACGAAGCACCTTCAGATACGGCTCTTTATCACGGCCCCGCTGAACAGTTTTAAGCCTGGCAGGTTCGTGCCATGGAACAATAACATTCGGCCCGCCTTTTACAAGGATGAGTGGGACGAGGAAGAACCATTGCCCTCAACACAGCACTATAATGCCAACGTGCTCTTTGACCTAACGATGAGCGAGAATCAGCAGCACTTGGACAAGTTCTTCAAGGGCAAGCGCAACTTTCAAGACGGTCTGTTGCTTCTTAAAGTATGGCTGCGGCAGCGTGAGTTGAATGTGGGATTCAGTGGCTTTGGCGCCCACATCTTGGCCTCGTTTATTGTCTACCTGAACCAGCATCGCCTTCTGCACCAGTCCAGCAGCAGCTACCAGGTAGCACGAACTGTGTGGAACCAACTTGCCAATACGGATTGGACCAGCGGTATCAGTCTGTCTCCCGCTGGAGTAAAGGCGGATGATTTGGAAAAGGTGGCAAAGTACTATGATGTCGTTTTTCTGGACGTCACCAACCAGTACAATTTGTGTGCGAACATTCCGCTGGATCTGTACCAGAGAGTTCGGGCCGAGGCCAAGTTGGCGGTGGAGCTCCTCAACGACACAAAGATCAACAGCTTCCCGTACATTTTCATGCAGAAATGTCCTCTCTACAGTCGTGTGGATAACATCCTGAAGTGAGTTCCAAAATATGAATAACTAACTCCCTTTATTAAAACTTTATTATTATTGTAGAATTACACACTATTCTTGTGTGGAACAAATGCTATTGCTGCACTCCAAGCCACAAGTTAAGTACGATTACGCCGATTATGGATACCCTCAATTGCTTAAGTTGCTGACAGAGTAAGTGACAGTCTCCAAGTCTTTCAAATGAATATAAAATATTGATTTCCTTTAAGGCTTCTTCAAAAAGGCCTTTCTGAACGAGTTCAGGCCATTCTTCCCCTGGAAACGGCGACTACCGCCTGGCCAGTGGAAAGCCAAGCGCCAGCTATTGGAAAATATATTCAACTGGGATTCATACTTCATCCAGATCACGCTTACGAAGTGCTCAACAAAGGCCCTGCCTCCAACGAAGATCCAGAAGGTGCTGCGGAGTTTCGGCGTTTTTGGGGCGAAAAGTCCAACCTCCGACGCTTCCAGGACGGCAGCATAACCGAGGCCGTTGTGTGGGGAACCGCCCAAGATGCTCCTTTTAAGAAGCGCTTAATCGTACGACAAATCGTTCTTCACCTGCTGGAACACCACCTCCAGGTGGACAGCAAGGACGTGCAGTATATCGCCAGCGAGTTGGAGCAGGTCTATCGGTTGACCCCTTGGTTCAAGGTTGCCCACTTAAAGACTAAGCTCCCCCTCGAGCAGGAAACTGACTCGGAGGCACTAACCCCGCACGTTATTCGGTGTTATGACGAACTGGCTCGGCAACTTCACGGCCTTGACGAACTGCCCCTGGAAATAGTATCTATTTCGGGCACCTCGCCAGTCTTTAGGTACTGTGAACCGCAGCCTGTGTTACCGCAGGCTCGTCTAAAAGATGACCATATCCTCGCCAGTCATGTGCAGCAGGTGGTCATACAGCTGGGCCAAAGCGGCAAGTGGCCCAGTGAGTTGACGGCCCTGCGAGCTCTTAAAACAGCTTTTCTGATAGAAATTGGTGAGAAGTTGGAGGCACAGTTCCGCCTGAAGTGGTCCATTACATCCGAGGGCCTGTTGGTCCTAAAGCAGGGCTTCTGTTTCATGATTCAGTTGGCCCACAGCAAGGAGCTGGCGCTGGTCAAGCAAGAGATCACCGAAAAGGGGGTGACCACATACGTCGATAACCCAGAAAGCCGTGCCTTGGAACGGGAGCATCACATCCTGCCCAAGGTGAGTGGAGCCTTGCACTCGCTCCACCAGACGCACTCTGCATTTGGACCTACTGTTCTACTGGCAAAGCGTTGGATTGCCACCCAACTTCTGGATGAGGGTTTGTGGCCTTCGATGGCCACTGAGTTGCTGGTGGCGCATCTCTTCCAGCAACGTCATGCCCCCCAGCCCATTGCCTCTCCTCAAGCCGGCTTCATTCGATTCCTGCAATTGCTCTCCCACACTGACTGGAACAGTGAACTGATCTTGCTGAACTTTAACAACAGCTGGCAGGGTAAGTAGTTGGGAAACATTATTATTTTCTCCAAACTAATCGACATTTATTTTTCAGAACAACAAATTACTGATCTGGAGAACAGCTTCCGCACTGATCGTCAGAGCTACCCACATTTAGTTGTGGCCACATCCTACGATCAACAGCACGCAGGTCGCCTCTGGACTTCCGAGCAGGCACCCAGCCGGCCGGTGCTCGGTCATGTTACTAAGCTGGCACGCACGGCTTTTGATATAGTTCAGACCAGTCTCATGTGTAAGGACCTTAGGTTCACTAGTCCCACCCAATTGTTCCGAGCTTCGAACGAGGGTTACGATCTGGTCATACAGCTGAAGCCTGAACTGGTTCCCAACACTTTGTGCTACGACCTTGGATCTCCATTTGTGCCCTTCTCCAGTCAGCCAAATTTCCACCTGCCTCTGGCAGGTGTGGATCGTCTGGCGGCTGTGGTCAACCAGTTGAGGGTAGGAAGTAGAATATGTTTTTGTCATTGGATTATAATAATTATTTTCTAATCCTTGTTTACAGTCTGCGTACTCTGACTTTGCCGCTTTCTTCTACAATCCACATGGCGGCAAGGAACTTGCGATTATGTGGCGCCCACCTTCTGAGTTTGCGCCCAAGCCTTTTAAAGTAAATGAGGTGAAGGCGTGCACGCCGTGTAGCAATGGAAAGGTCCAAGTTATCAGGGAGACGCTTCTCGAGGACTTCAAGCTATTGCTGAAAGACTTTTATCTGCGAATCGCAACTCCAGAGGAGCTAAAAAGGGAACAGCGTGAAGTCACCCAACCAAAGCGGTACTTTAATAATCAGAATGAAAAGGATACGGATAAGGATAGCCCCAAGCCCAAGAAGCAAAAGCTTCAAGTCCCAGCAAAGGCTAATCCCAAGGCCAAAAAGCAAAAGCTCCAAGTGCCAGCAAAGGGTAATCCCAAGGCTCCTATAACCGCGAAACCCACTAAAAGGAAGCGACCCATCAAGGGCTTAAGTGCTTCTGGTTAGTTTTTTTAAACACGGAGATGTCTTTTTTGTACAAATAGTTAGATTATTAAATATATTATTTTTAATGCCTAAACAAATCAGATTAATTACCAAAGACAAATTTTATTGGCCAACAGCGGTAGAAATATATCAAAGGGGTAAGAAAACACAAAGTCATAGATGCTAACACGAATCTGTCATGTTACAGTCATCCTCCGATTTCCTCACCGACCGCCTACGCTCGTCCTGCAGCTCCTGGTAGTAACGATTTAGTTCGTAAGGAAATGGCTTTGGTTCAGAAGCTGGAGAGTGACTTTGGCTGCGAGGATTGGTATTCGCTTTCATGATGCCCCTCGAGTAGAATCCCTGTCCATCTCGACTGCAGAGATCTGCATTTGTCGACTGAAATGGGCAGGGGTCATCCACCGGGCATCTGCGATGAATCGTTCCTCTTCGCTCCGGGATAGCTTGTATTGACTTGCAGCGCCGACAGCCACATCCTCTTGAAGGTTCATCATCACCTTCCGACGTGGCATCTTCCTCCTCACTAGAGTATTCCGTCGACGAGGACTTCCACACTACATGACTGGATGTGGTGTTGCATGCTTTACAGGCAGTTTTCGCCTTTGTTTGGGAACAGGGCTTTTTTGGGGCTTTAGCTGACTTTTGTGTGGAATCGGGAGTTTGATTCCGAGTATCAGTGGTCAGGGTCTGGCAGCTGGTGTCGTGCTTTTTGTCCATAGAGCAGTTCTGGCAGCCAATGCTCGTCATCAGGCCACCAGTGGAGGTGGCAGCGTTTAATTTGAGTTTGAAGGTTGGACGCGGTTCCTCAGTATGCTTGCTCCAGCCCAGTTGGGTGGCCATGCTGGCCACGGTTTTCGGAGGTCGAGATAAAACCTGGTACATGGACGTAGCCAGATGATTTGCCTCACTGTTGTTTAGGTTGAAAGTTGCATGTTTCGGCGGCAGCAGGTCCTGTAGAGTGCAATTGTGGTTAGCTTGTTGCGGAGACGTCTGGATGACACCGTGGCTGAATGCATCATTGACTGGAACAGGTGTTTCCATAGGCCAGAGCTGTCCGTTGACTACTCGGTTGTAGCTGAAGACGCGGGTGTCCTCCACCCGCCGAATATCCTGTTGTGTGAGCACAAAGAGTTCATTGCCCACCAAAACGGGGACTGGGTCATAGGGTAGTGGGTTATTTGGTATGGATTTAATGGCAAGAAGTGGTACTTACTCTGCACAACTGGCGCCGCTTCTTCGGACACTTGCACTATCTTCTTAACATTCGAGTTATTGGCCATTGTCTTGGTTTAACAGATAATTTGGAAATAATTTACAAATTTAGAAATTTTCTTTAGCAAATTAAAAACACATGTTTTTTTTTAGAATTTTCTGAATACTGTATACAAAAATGGAAAGGCTAAGGACATGTAACGTCACAATGGAAATAAATTTTCCATAGATCTAGTTTCAAATCTCGTTTTTAAATTTGGCGCCATTGGTCAAGTCTCAGCCACTTGTGGATTGTGTTGGACTTTGATAACGGTGGAACCTATTGAGTAATTAAATTAAAAAAATGGCCGTTGATTGCCGTTTATTAAAAATACAGAAAATTAATGGTAAAATTCACAAAACAATAAGATGGAAATTGAAATTTTAATTTAAAAAATCAGAAAAACAAACTACTCCACGATAGTCCCCCCATGGCTCCTCATTTTTGTAGGCAGCTTTGGCTTACCACGGTCACACTTAAATCGAAATCACGTTGTCTTTGAGTTGAAGCTGCAAAAGCTGTCAAAATTTCGTAATAATTCGTGTATTGTTTAGCAAAATTGGCCTCTAAGAGAGAACCCAGGAAGTACCACACACCCATCGAGCGCTTAAAGGAGCAGAAAGAGAGCGGAGTATGTCGTGGCTTTTGGGAAGGAACCGTCAGCAGCCGCAGCCAGAACCGGCGGGCTCGGATGGAGGAGGGGCTGATCCGGAGGGCAAGACGGCCGGCGAACGTTCTGGAGACTCGCAGCTGAGCCGAGCGGAGCGCAAGGCCATGGAGGCGTACCGGTTCGACTCCTCCGCCTTAGAAAGGGCGGCGGATGCGGCCAAGACACTAGAGCGGTCAAGTAAGCGAAAAATTTCATCAGCCAATTGCATAACCGACATGCGCATGCTATCGCAGCTCGTATGTGCGTGTGCGTGTGTCCGGGAATGTGGTGTCTTTCTATCTGTAAGGTGACCTATGATACTCTCGTGCAGAACATGCGCGCGAGGCTCTGGAGCTGTCCAAGATGCAGGAAACCACCCGGCAGGTGGAGTACAACACCAAGGTCAAGGAGTACGAGGCGCACATCGAACAGGCCAAGGTCGAGCAGAAGCGGATCGACCATGAGGAGCGCCGAAAGACTCTTATTGAAGAGACCAAGCAGCAGCAGCAACGGGCTCAGTACCAAGATCAGCTATCCCGGAAGCGGTATGAGGACCAGCTCGCGCAGCAGCAACGAGTCCAGGAAGACAATCTGCGCAAGCAGGAAGAGAGTGTGCAGCGCCAGGAGGCGATGCGCCGTCAGACCATCGAGCACGAAATTGAGATGAAGGAGAAGAACCGACTTAAGCTGCTGGAGCATGAGCTGCGGGCCAAGGCTCGTGTTGACCGCGAGAACCGGGACATCAACCTTGAAAAAATCAGGTTGAAAGCTCAAGAGCACCGAACAACTGTTTTGGAGGGAATCAAGTGAGTTTATCGGAGGACCTCTAACAAATGGATTTAATAATTTAACTGTTTGCTTTCCATAGAACGGCTGGTACTGTCATTGGTGCAGGAGCGGAGGCCATGCTTACCGATTGGGACAAGGTTCTAACTGCTGCTGGAGGCCTGTCGCTTCTCGCTCTGGGCGTGTACTCCGCCAAGGGTGCCACCGGCGTCGTCTCCCGCTATGTTGAGGCTCGCATCGGCAAGCCCACACTAGTGGGGGAGACTTCCCGCTTTGCCTTCCTGGACGCTCTGAAGCACCCACTGAATTACTTCAAACGGCTTCGGGCCAAGCCCGCCGACGCCCTGCAGGGTGTCGTACTGAACCCAAAGCTTGAAGAACGGTTGCGTGACATCGCTATCGCCACGAAGAACACGAGGATCAACCGTGGTCTGTATCGGAACGTATTGATGCACGGTCCTCCTGGAACTGGTAAAACTATGTTCGCCAAGAAACTGGCTGAGCATTCCGGCATGGACTTTGCGATCATGACTGGTGGCGATGTAGCACCCATGGGAAAGGAGGGCGTAACAGCCATCCACAAGGTGTTTGACTGGTCAAACACATCGCGGCGTGGCCTGTTGCTGTTCGTGGATGAAGCAGACGCTTTTCTGCGCAAGCGTTCGTCGGAGAAGATCTCCGAGGACTTGCGTGCCGCCCTTAACGCCTTCTTATACCGTACCTCTGAGCAGAATCCCAAGTTTATGTTAGTGCTTGCCTCCAATACACCGGAACAGTTTGACTACGCAATCAACGATCGTCTTGACGAGATGGTGGAGTTCACACTTCCCGGTCTGGAGGAGCGAGAACGACTGTTGCGCCTGTACTTCGATAAGTACGTTCTGCAGCCTGCAGCTTCGGGAGCCAAGTAAGTATCCAATTGGTTATACCTTAAGACTCATTGAATTAATGTCTGAAATTTTTTGAAAGGCGCTTTAAACTAGACACCTTTGACTACGGTAAGACGTGCTCGAAGATGGCTGCCCTGTGTGAGGGTATGTCCGGTCGTGAAATCTCCAAGCTTGGCGTGTCTTGGCAGGCTGCTGTCTACGCCTCTGAAGAGGGCCTCCTTACAGAAAAGATGGTGCTGGATAGGTGCTACTCTGCTGCTCAGCAACATAAACAGAAGGTAGGTGTTCCTACAGACCTGGTCTAGTATCATTTTTAATCCCTATTTTCCACAGATGGCATGGCTTTCGGAACAGGAACGGGCCGACCACAAGTCCATCACTGGGGCCGCTGCCCCGCCGCTTACTCTCACTGCCAATAAATTGTGAGGCGCTGTCGCTGGCGGAAAGTTGATGTTGAAGCAGATGCTGTAACTGCATTCAAACCTTGTTTAGTTTTTAGACTTTACTTTAAGATGGCAACGCACAGGGCTTTATCTGACTATCGGATGCCACGCAACAGCCATGAAAATGAACTTTTGTGTGCATACATGTACATAACGCATTTAACAGCCGGTACAAAATCGTTGAGCGACTCACGTGTGTGACTGAAGATACAATTAAGTTGTACCCACTGACAATTGTATTATAAGCTTGCATTAACTGTCTCAATAGTGTGTACAATAAGAGGTATATATTTTAACTGCTGTTGTTGCATTTCCTATGTTAAAGCTTTGGACGTCGAATTGGAACTCGCCGCGCCAGCACTCTGAGAGATTTATATTAAACTTCTCGCTGGCGCCGGACTCTAATTTAACTCGTTCGGCAGTTTTCCTATATGATATATGAAATAAATATGTATAGGCTACTTGTTAAAAAAAAACTCGTTTTTTTTACTTATTTCAAATATTTTTAAAAAGGGCCACTTTTAATGATTAACTAGTCTTAGTAGACTTAAAACCATAATATTTTATTTAATTTGCGGGCTTGGTAATCTTAAAGACGAAATTTTTTGAATATTATGCAAACTATCTTGCGGAAGGATGCAAGAAAACCTTAAAACTTAAATATTTTTATTCAATATTTTGTATGGAAACTGTGTGTTATTTCCATAAACTAAATATAGGTATTTTATTTTCTATAAGCCAATATTTCTAACAAATTTTTATCTTTTCATTGAAAAAAGTCTTGAAATTTTAAAGTTTAAATTCTTTAAATATTTTCAAAAACACAAAAATGTTCAAACATTCTTTTAAAAAAAGTGTGTGTTACCGGCTCTAGGGGTGAACTCGGAAACAAAGCCTGGTCACACTATTGCACGAGAAAATGGCGTAAAGAGTATTTGTGTAGAAATATTAAATCAAACAGCCTAGAAAAATAGTTATAGTTGTTATTAATCTCCGACAAGAAATGTATCCCGGCGGGAATGCTAATGCCGATTTAGGCTATAACAAGCATGCCCATGCCCACGGACTTGGTCACGGCCAAAATCAGTTCCTGACGCAGCCTCCGCCACCACCCCCACACTTCGCGCTACCAACTGGCGGGCCACTAAACCCACTGGTGACCCCCAGCCTGCCGCTGGCCATGCCGGGGGGTACTGGCATTGATTGGGCGCAGCTCGCGCAGCAACGGATTCACATGCGGGACGCTGGGGTCGTGATGCCACCCGTAGCTCCACCGCCACCTATTATTGGAAATGTTCCAGAGTTCCACCATCAGGCGATAGCTTTGCCGTTACCCATCATTGCCGTGCAGCCAACGCATCCGCACTTAGAGGAGCAGGGTGAAGCGGACATGGACATGGACGAAGAGCCCGAGCGGGGTAATGGTGCAGAAACGCCGCCCCCTCCGGCACCCGTGGTTACGCAATCCCAATGGCTAGCAGCCAGCGAAGCGGCTGCATCTGACCCATCAGCCGTCCCCACGAGTTTAGGCTCCTCTGGAGTTGGTAAGACATGGGAAATGGGATTTCCGCCATTGCATTTTCCAATTCCCGCCTCTTCTACAGCTGTCATGCATGGAAAGCAGCCGTGGAATAGCTGGCAGTCCGGAAAACAAGCAAATCCTACGGCGCACATTCCCTCTTTGCTGAAACTGAACGTCAGCAATCCCAATGAGCCGCAGCAACAGCTGCAGTTGAAGATGCCATTACAGCCGCCGCAGCAGCAGCAGCAAATATTGGCGCACCAGCAGCAACAACAGCAACCGAACCACCAGCAAGAGAGCGATGCCAGCGGCAGCGCCAGCACTGAGATTGATGCCAACAAACGGAAAATGTTGCCAGCTTGGATAAGGTCAGAGATCATTGCCTCCATATGAATCTTGTAGCTTGTAGAAATGGTAACCTTCCATTGTTATAAATGCGTATTATTGCAGGGAGGGCCTAGAGAAAATGGAGCGTGAAAAACAGCGGCAGCTGGAGCGCCAACAGCTCTCCGCGCCAACGCCAGATGTCGATGGCATCGATGTTAAGCAAGTATCAAGCAAAACACTAACTACACCTGTTAATCTTTTGAACATCGCAAATGTGGTAAGTAAGGTCTGCTAACGAGGCTAATTCTGACTCTCAATACGGACGGAAAAGTGCCGAAAGTCGGGCATTCATAATACTCCCATTGGCTGCCATACAACTCTGAACCGAACTGAAACCTTGACAATCAAAAAAAATGCATTTCCAAAACCACTGCCTCCATTAAACGTGCCCTTGAAATTCAGGCTAGCGACAGCGAAGACTCCGTCGGCCTGCCTGAGGACACACTTGGAAACTCGAGGGAGGAGCAAATAGGTAATGAGATTTTGAGTAAGGCCAGAGATAGCGGGAGCAGTGATGAAGAGGATGAGGATAATAATAGCGAGCCGGGACAACAGGAGACGCTGACGGGAATGCAGAGTTCGGCTGAGACCAAGGAGGCTCCGGTGAATGGTAAAAACTACGAAGAAAGACTGGCAGATCTGGTAGGCATTCCTTTTAATCCGGTAGTGAGCTCAGGCCAAGCGATGAAGTCGAGTGACCTTCAGAGCCGAAGGAACTGCGGAACCTAAGCTGCTGCAGTTCGTTCACTCTGCACTAGAGTTCATTCCCTGGTTACCGGCATCACATCCGATCATAATCTGTATAGCTGCAATCAATCCTGAATACCCATCTGTAGATGCTCGCTGTGCGTCGCACACTCACCGAAATCCTACTGGAAACCACGAATGAAGAAATTGCTGCCATTGCTGGCGAGGCTCTGAAAGCGCACCGCGCCAAAGGTACATTACACATTAATCTTAAGTTTATCCCCAAACCGATCTCTTCCAGCGATATCGCGTGTGTGTGTTTGTGTAAGTAAATAGAACGTAAGAACCTAGCTGGAATGGTCCTGGCTCCGTTAGGTCGGGCGATGAGATCGCATCCGTAATGCGGCGAGCGTGTTCCACATAATTATTTTTAAATTAAAACCTCTGCTAATATATGAATCCTTTAAATACTGAAATGAACGAATCAAACACCACACAAAAACAATGAAATCACTTGCTGAAAATTTTATAATCGTAATATATAATATATACCTATATATATGTATGTATATGTAAATCAAAAGCGTCATCAGCCCAAGTGATTCGCAAAAGCGCCTTGTCTTCCATTACCGGCAACTTGGGTAAGTAACGAAATTCCAATTTAGCGCGTAAGATTCTTTTGCACAGTTTTTGTTTAGAGGTAGTCTGAAATAAGCTTATCCCTTTACCCTTTTACCCCCTAATGGTAATGAACGAAGAGAATATTGGTAACTGTTTAGGTCCCTTTCGAGTCCATAACTTTCTCGCTGTAATCTTGAGTTAATCTTCCTTGTCGCAGTGTGCTCTGCTCCCCAGTCTGTCTTCTTCCGCTCCCCCCTTAAAAGTTAATGTAAACATTTCTCTAAAAAAAAAAAATCGAGATATTAAGAATGACTTAAGATCAGCGCCCCATCTCTGCATCGAAGCTTGGTAGCAACAATTAGCACTTGACTGATTTGAATTATAGGGCTAGCGGCCTATGCCAGCGATTCTTCCAGTGAAAGCGAAGAGGACGAGGACAATGCCGAAGGAGATCGTCAAGCGGACGCAGTCAAGGATGGTGACAAGAGTGTACACTTGAGCGCGGAAGATTTGAAGGTTTGTTTTCTTTAAGAAGCCACAATGATTCCAAAATGTTGACTCTATTACAATCTTTAGGCTCGCATACGGCGCAGCAAAAGATCCTTCGAGAGGGTCATAGACGACATTGAGAATCGAATGGCCCAACAGAAGGAGCGCGACGAAAAGACGCTACAAAGGCACCGCAGGCGGGAGCTTGCTGATTCCGCAAGCGAGCGGCGCAGTCCGGTGGTCAATGAGGAACTTCTCGAAGACCTGGCTAGTTATCCCGCGCATGACAAGCTGCAGCACTTTAATGGTTTGTTGTGTAAACCAGAATTCTTCCTAAAAAGTCAACTAATTCTTCTGTGTCCACAGCGGGAAAACGTCCTAGCCGCAAGGAGCGCACCACACGCTTCAGCGACAACAAGGATGGCAAACACCAGTCCCATAGCTACGTCCATCAGGTGGTAGCAGCTGCTGCAGTATCACCGCCAAGCCGCGTCGTCGCTGGCGCTGTGCCGCAGAAGCTGAAACCAGTTCCCAATCCGGCCACCAACCTGTTGCAGATGCCGGAATCAGTAACTACTATGCTTAATGCGGCGGACAAGGCGCTTCAAAGTGCTAACAAGTCATCGAGCAAGGCCAAGAGCAGCCGGCGTCGATCGTCCAGTGCGTCTTCCTCAAGTAGCAGTAGTGACAGCAGCTCCAGTGACAGTGATAGCAGTTCCAGCGATTCAAAGACCTCTAGCAGTCGAAGCAAGCGCAGCAGTAGACACGGGCACTCTGATCGGGGCAGTAGCCGAAGCAAATACGATCGCCGTGACCGCGATAGGAAAAAGGAACAGAACCGGGACAGAGACAGAGACAGGGACCGAGACCGAGACCGTCGCCAGCGCCACCACTACAGCGGTGGAAGTAGTAGCAGCCGGAAGAGCGACAGGCGTAATCGAGATTCCAGCCGATCTCAAGAAGATGATAGAGGAAGCAATAGCCAGCACCGGTCTTCAAGGCACCGTAGCAGCCGTAGCCACGACCACGGCAGCAGCAGCAGCAGCAAACGGCGAAGTTACCGGTCGAGATCCCGCTCCAAGTCTCGCAGCACCCACCACTCCCATTCGAATTCGAAATCGCACTCCTCTTCTTCCGCGTCTCATTCACGCAAACGCCACTAGACTTTGATTATAGATACTTGTTGAATTGTACATTTTTCTATTTTTCTTCTGTTTTGAATGCTTTTAGTAAACTATTTTAATCACGCTTAAAACGATGCCAATTTTTATTAATACTTTTGATCTAAGCAAGTACCTCTTTTGATTCTAAATACAGTCCCAATTTACTTCATGATGTTGTACCAATGTTGAAGAAAAATGTCAGTTAGGCTCCATTTTTGAAGCTGGCATTGCAGACTAAAAACTTATAGAAAAATTCTGGCTTTTGGACGACATTCTTTGGCATTAAAACAAATAAAACAGAAAAACCAGTAACATTCTCATTGTTGACATATTCTGCATTAGGGATGGACACGTAAAGGTTTTGCTATTCGATAGTTAACAGCAATTCTGTTATTGGGATGTTGACGTTACAGATTACAGAATCTGTTTTTTTTTTTTTCATTTAAAAAATTCCTTCAAATATTTAATATTTTCCTCAAAAATTCAGAAAATGATAATGGTAAGAAACCCTTTTACCAAGAATAAAACAGATAAAAAGCTTTAAGGTAAAAAATTAAATTTATAACAAATAGTGATCAGTTCCCGCTGTCGAAATTTGTTATTTTTCAACAGCTGGTCACACTGTTTCTGAGCAACTACAAACTGTGACGACATTGCTATTTTTGTTTTTTGTTTCACCAGAACTGGAAACGATGTCGGACCTCGCGTATTTGGACACGCTGAACAACAAGCAACTGCTGGCCAAATGCTTGGAGCTTGGTCTGCCCGGCGTTCCTGTGACAGACAGCACCCGCGGCGTCATCATCCGCCGGCTGCGAGCGGCGATCACCGGGACGCCCCTAAACAAAAGCAAGACCAAGAAGGTGACCCCCAGGCGAGAAACTGTTCATGGAAGCCATGTGGCTCAGCCCACATCTGAGCCAGTTCGCCGCACTGCTGGTAAAAGTCCAAGTCGTGCTGGGGGAGAAAAAATCAGCGCTGCCAGTCGGCGTACCATAGCATATGGATTGGACAATACGTCGCTTTCTGGAAGATCTGTACAAACCACAACCACTGTGTCTGATGTGGGCTCTCAATCGGAGGATGACGATTATTTTATGGTGGACTCTCCCGGAGTGCGCTACTCCCATTCCACCCAAACGCCTGGCGAAGACAATCGACGCAGGCGTTCAGTTTCTTTGACAAAATCTGGAGTGTTGACCACATCTTATACTCGTGAAGTGAACCAGCCTAACTACGTGCCAGAGGCTGAAGAAGAGGATCAACCCCGTAGCTACACATACGAAAGACCAAAGGTTCAAACCTCGCCTCTGCACACATTGCCCACTTATGAGCCTCGCATAGAGCCATCAACCTATAGACGCTCTGACCTGGGCTTTTCTCGGCCATTACTTACTCAGAGCCAGCTTAACTCTACCAGCTACTTGGAGGAATCGGGATACAACCAGACGTCTTCGCCTATTTATCCAAGGAACACATTCAGCGGCTCGGCAAAGCCATTCGGAGTTCCGGCCCCAGGAGCAGCAGAATCCATTTCTCGCCAGCGTCGTCCTGTTAGTGGATTTAGCATGGCTAGGGGTCGTATTCTGCAGCCTACCACCGCAGTGAATACGCTTTATCCCCAACTGAATCAGTTCTACGATCAACCTGACAACACCCACTCGGACAGCGAGTCGGAAGTGGAGGAAGCCCCTGTCAGAGCCACTCGCCTATCACCTCCCCAGGCCAGACCCCAAGTTCGAAGACCTCTGCTGCGCCAAGAGGATCAGGGTTCGCCCATGTCGCAGTTTAAGGAGCTGGTTTATTCCGTGAATCGCCAGTATAACCTCAAGTTTTACTTCCTTCTCATTCTGGGCGTGATGCTCGCCACGTGTTTCTACGTGATTTTGACGTCTGGAGATAGTTAAATATGTAAATTAGTACCTAAATATATGCCTTGGAAATGTGGCTATTGATTAATATTTTCTCATAACAACAATGGTTAAAGGACCTTTTTAATACGGGGACCCGGAGGAAAGTCCAATAGCATAAGCATTGTAATTAAAAACTTGTTGGAATTCAGTTCAGTTTGCCAAGTCTTTAATTGCTTGTTTTGCATAATTTTCTTTTTATACATAATTAGAAAAATGTACTACATTATAATTATTGTATTGTATTAAATAAACTAATTAAATGTAAGTGCTCAGTGTGTGCTGTTGCGATTTCATTATGTGGGTGCGCTTTCTCCCTGATAACGGACCAGGACTCTATGCTTTATGCTACTATTTACACGCCATTCAATAAACAAAACAAACTGTGTAAAATCGTTTGGGGGGGTAGTGGGGGATCGCTGCTAGAACATCACAAAGCAAATCGCTGCTGGCGACCAAGTATCTGGCTGACTAATTAAAGTGGAACTTGAACTGGAAGGGAGACCCGTGCTGGAAGTGTGCGAACGGATGTTCTCCGTGGAAGCCTCCGCGCTGGCCCTCGGGATCCAATGGATCTTCTCCATTGTCGAACTGTCGCCGCTTCTCGGGATCGGTAAGTACTTCTTTAGCTGCAGCAATATCAATGAATTTCTTCTCGGCCACCTTTTTCTCCTCATCCCGGAAGTTATCTGGATGCCATTTTTGCGCGGCCTTGCGGTACGCCTTTACAATTTCCTGCTTGGTGGCGCTGCGCTTCACGTTCAGGATTTTGTAGTAATCTCGGCGCTCTGACTGCTTCTGTAGCTTCTTGGCTCGTTGGATGCCCTCCTTGGCGCGGGAATTGTTCTCCTCCAAGTCTAGTGCCGCCTGGAAGGAGTGAATGGCATCGTCGTACATCTCGGTGCCAAGCAGGGCGTCGGCTCGATCACAGTATACTTGTGCGTCCTTCATAATGTCAAGTGCCTCCTTGCACTGCTGGAGAGCCTTTCCGAACTGCTCATCGGCGGTATAGCAGCTGCAGAGCGCCTTGTGACCTTCATATCGGATCATAGTCTCCTCCGGCTCGTGCTTAAGCACTGCCTCACCGGCAGCGATGCACTCAGCATATTGTTTCTCCTCGCGAGCCTGCTCAGCGTTAACCAACTGCTTCTCCACCTTGCGTAGCTTTTTGTAGAAGGGAAAGCACAACTTGTGCTCGGGATCGAACTTAAGGCACTCGCGAATCTCCTTCAAGGCGTTCGAGGCGTGTCCTATTGTGTAAAGCAGCTGGGCAATGTTGTAATGTCCTTCCGTGCTGTCCTGGGTTAGACGGTTCACCTGTCGCAAATCGGAAATGGCTGACAATGGGTCATTTATGGCAATGTAGGCATCCGATCGAGCCTGTCGGAATGGCACAGCCCATGGCGAGATCTCCAGCAACTGTGTAATCATGGCAATGGCATTCTGATGATCCTGATGGCTAACCAACTGTTGTACCAGCTGCCATTGCTCCTGAGCCGGGGACAAGCGGGAGTAATGCTCTAGAACTAGTCCGTTGTTGGGCTCCTCTCGGAGTACTTCCTCGAAGTCGTGCATCGCCAGTTCGTATTCACCACTCTTCATGTGCACCACACCGCGCTGAGTCCTCGCAGCCGTAAAGTCCGGTTTCAGTTCCAGGACTCGGCTGAAGTCCTGTACGGCAAAGCGTGTCTTCCCTAAAGCCAGGTAGACGGTTCCGCGCTTGAAGAGAGTCAGGTAGTTGTTTGGATCGCCCTCTACAGAGAACAGATGTGTTAATCAAATAAATATGGGCTACTTCACCCTTGCAGATGAATAAATTTATTTAATTTTTTGCATTAAAGGTAAATTGTTAAAAAATTATTCATCTGCCAGGATATAAATAGAGCTATAAGGATATATTTATTTACCAACTGCCGCATGATAATGCGTAAGGGCATCCGACAGCTGCCCGCGAGCCAAAAAGTCCTTGCCCAGCTCCAGGTGGTTCTCGATGTCCGCGGGACTGGCCACCGACTCGGCGCCTGCGAGAAAAACAATGACGTGTAAGTAACCAACCCTCATAGATAAGGCCCTTTAGGGTAAGCACCTTCTAGGAAGAGCTCCAACAGTAGGAGCACCACGCAGGCGGCCAACTTCTTCTCCCCGCTGCCGAACATAAGGAGATCGCTTAATGGCAAGGCCATGGCGTTGTTTAGACTACGTGTACTTGGTCAGTTAGGTGAGCCACAACCTGTGTGGGCGTTATCGACACGCACGGCACTTGGCGAATCTGCTTGGCGTGGCAGCTGCTAATCTCTGCGCTTTCACCTAGCCCCCCCTCTCCAAAGAGCTGCGATGTTACGGCTTTATGAAAATTGCGTCCGTTTTTGGTAATATTCCGGTCGTTCGGTTTCTGTTCCTTCACTTTCCCTGACAGAGACAACTACTCGATTCAGTTTCTAAAAAGTGAGAGAATCTCTGGGCATCCCGGCCACTGCAATGTTCAACTGCGGGCGCCTTTTGACACGGAACTTTGTGCTTATAAATATATATAAACTAGAACTGACGTGTTTCTGTCTGATTTTTTGAACAATCCCCCATCCCTCGTCGTTCCTTTCCGTGTGGTCCAAATATTTCTGGTATTTTTAAGTATTTCAAAGTGTCAGACTAATTTTAGTATTTTTAAAGATTTTTTTTCCAATTTTTTTTCAGTATTTTTAATAAAAATGTGAACAATAATAAAAATGAAGAAAATAAAACGTTATTTTGAATTAGAATGAAAAATTAAGCGAAAAAATCAGGAACCTTTATTGGCAAAATTATACCATTCAGTGCCATATTGTGGCACTTTTAAAAGAGATCCCTTGGAAAATATAAAAAACATAAAAATAAATTTGTTTGTAGGTTTTGATAAAAAGAGATAGAGAATTGAATCACAAATCGATTAAGGTCTTCCTTTTAGAAGTAGTTTCATTAGTGGCAAAGTTAGAGCCTTCGCTGTGGGTCATATTATTGCTCCCATGAATTTTCCACATTTTGAAGAGGTATACCTAAAAAATTTGCCAAAAATTCTTAAAAATATTTTGTTCCTGGATTTTGATGCAGATTGATGGAGAATCGATCCACAATTCATTTAAGATAATCCGCTCAAGAATCGGATGACTATTGGCAAAGATATGGCCTTCGGTGTGGGCCATATGGACCTCTCGTGCATTTCCCACATTTTTGAAGGGGTCTGCCCAGAAAATTTTACAAAAAATCTGAAAAATATTTTGTTCCTGGATTTTGATGCAGATTGATGGAAAATCGATCCACAATTCATTTAAGATAATCCGCTCAAGAATCGGATGACTATTGGCAAAGATATGGCCTTCGGTGTGGGCCATATGGACCTCTCGTGCATTTCCCCCATTTTTGAAGGGGTCTGCCCAGAAAATTTGACAAAAAATCTGAAAAATATTTTGTTCCTGGATTTTGATGCAGATTGATGGAGAATCGATCCACAATTCATTTAAGATAATCCTTTAAGGAATCGGATGACTATTGGCAAAGATACGGCTTTCGGTGTGGCCCATATGGACCTCTCGTGCATTTCCCTCATTTTTGAAGGGGTCTGCCCAGAAAATTGGACAGAAAATCTGAAAAATATTTTGTTCCTGGACTTTGATGCAGATTGATGGAGAATCGATCCACAATTCATTTAAGATAATCCGCTCAAGAATCGGATGACTATTGGCAAAGATATGGCTTTCGGCGTGGCCCACATTGACCTCTCATGCGTTTTCCCCATTTTGAAGGGGTCGGCCCAGAAAATTTGACAAAAAATCTAAAAAATATTTTGTTCCTGGATTTTGATGCAGATTGATGGAGAATCGATCCACAATTCATTTAAGATAATCCGCTCAAGAATCGGATGACTATTGGCAAAGATATGGCCTTCGGTGTGGGCCATATTGACCTCTCATGCATTTCCCCCATTTTTGAAGGGGTCTTCCCAGAAATTTTGCCAAAAAATTTTAAAAATATTTTGTGCCTGGATTTTGATGCAGATTGATGGAGAATCGATCCACAATTCATTTAAGATAATCCGCTCAGGAATCGGATGACTATTGGCAAAGATATGGCTTTCGGTGTGGCCCATATGGACCACTCATGCATTTTCCCATTTTTGAAGGGGTCTACCCAGAAAATTTGACAAAAACTCTAAAAAATATTTTGTTCCTTGATTTTGATGCAGATTGATGGAGAATCGATCCACAATTCATTTAAGAATTAAAAAAAGGATGCATTTGGATACATATTTGGAAAGATACAGCCCTCGAAGTGATCCAAATGATGGGTCCCATTAAGGTACTTCGCTCAATAATCGGATTAAATCTCCCAGCGACACAAAATTTAATTAAATAACAAATCTTAATTGTTTTATTTTTCAAATTACTGTTAAATTGGAACATGAATTTGGTAAATAGGGCTAACACTACTTTTAAAAATCCGTAGTATATTGATATTTCAAATTTTCGTATGCTGATGTAAATACTTTTCGGTTTCTTCTGGTAATAAATGCATTCCTTGAGCATTTCGCATCTTCAGTTGCTTCAATTGCTTTAATAACATAATATGCTTATTGCTTATCGCTAAATGGTCAGCAAGGATCAAGGGATTAAGTATGTAAGGAGCTTGAGATAAATATGAATCAGAAATGGTCGAAGGTATGCGGATCTAGGATTTAAGACGATATAGTTTTGTGTATTTACGTATGCGATACGGGCCATATATAGTAAAATATAACATTTTCCTATGACATATTCTAGATAAAGCTCACGGCTCATTCACGACGCAGCGATCCCTGTGTGTCTAGTAAATGGTCTAACTTTGGATGGAGGGTGTGGTCTATAAGTTCTAGGCTCGAGTTCTATGCTGCTAGTGAGTATTTAGTGAGAGCTAGGCTCAGAATGCAAAACAGTTTCTGTATGTGCTTGGCTATAACAGTATTCTTTGCTGTTCCTCTTGGTTAGGAAATCACAATGTTTATCAGATCATCGAGAGTGTCCTCAGAGGGGGGCTGAGAGGCGTGTGTCTTTTGCATGTGAGCTGTACATAAAAAAATATAATTAATTAGTTATTAAAACCAATAAAATATAATACAAACTTTTAAGCTTGATGTGCGTGACAAAGCGTTCCTGGCAGAGATCGCACTTGTAGTAGGTTTTTCCGGTATGTACCCTTTGGTGGAGTCGCAGGGACTTTTCAAATAAATAGGCTCTTCCGCAAATGCTGCATTTGAAGTTCTTTTCCAAGACTGAAAGGGATGATTTTTGGAGATAAAAGTTTATCATTTTAGAATCGATAATCTAGGAACTCTTTCCTTTCAATGCGGATTCAAGGACTCACCCTCGTGACTGCGTCGATGCTGGTTTAGCACGTACTTCAGGGCAAAGGATTTGCCGCATACATCACACACGTTTGGCTTCTCCTTCTCGTGCGTCTTAATGTGCCACTTCATGTCCTGGACCCGCTTGAATCTCTTGGAGCACTGGGGACAGGCGTGCGGGCGGTCCTTCTCCGAATGCACGGCAGAGTGCCGCTCCAGCGCCGACTTCATGTTGAACCTCTGGGTGCAACTGCCGCACTGGAAGAGTCCGGAGTATTGACGTTCCCGCTTCTGCTGCAGGACACGCTTGTTGTTGGCAATCACCGGCATCCCTGGTCGATGAAGGTGCTCCGCAGACATGTGGCTGGCTAGGTCCTGCTCTGTGGCAAAGTGCTGCCGGCACATCATGCACTCGCTTCGCTCGATGGCGGTTAGGTTCTCCCTGTGCTTCTCCAGCATATGGATGCGTTTCTCGGCGTAGGATGCAAAAACTAAGGAACAGGAATTGCGTAATCTTTTATTAATTGGCGATCAGGGTGGTTCAAAAGGGTGACTAGTCGTAGGGTGTCATGAAGTAGAAATATATTTCATCATCCTGGAATCCATGACCAAAGGTCATGATTGATTTTTAGATAATATAATGATTTTTTCAGGATGGATTTCAGGATGACTTCTTATATAATGACATGCTGCTCTCCGGGGTTTCAAACTGTGGATGGAGTTGGTTATGCTTTTCGGTAATATTTGAGAGGTTTGAAGGGTAAAAACTCTAATCAAGTGGCTAAAAGTAAATCAAAGTACAAAACGTTTGCTTATTCGGAATTCGCATGCTATTTGGCTAAAAAGGTTTGCAAAAAAAACAGCTCGGTTAGCCATTATGTTTACCGTTATTTTGGCTTGACTAACACACACAACACACACTATAAGAAGCGGCAGAATCAGACGGGCGTGTCTCACTTTATTTTTTGGTCATAAAGCTCTTGTTGGATGTGAAAATGTTCGATGATGGCGACAGATTGATATTTATGGTTAATGCTCATGTATATTTAATGTAAAAAGTTTGTATTGCTGAAATCTTTCAAGCCCCCCCCCTTTAAAGGAGGCTGGAAAAATCTCAGATAGAGCTCCAGAAGAGGCTACATCTGTACTTACCCTCCGTGCAGTTGGCACATTTGTAGGGTTTCTCTCCTCCATGCTGTCGGTAGATGTGCCAGCGAAGAGTCTTCAGATGAATAAAGGCTAAGATAATAAAAATAAATGGATATATTATTCATATGGGAATAAAAGTATATTTATACTGGGGGCTAGTTGGTTTTAAAATCTACTTACTCTTTCCACAAAAGCTGCAATGCTCACTCTTCCGGGAGCTAGCTCCCAGGTGAGTGGCTTCGTGGCATTTCAGATGGCGCTGATTGATGAACAGCCTCTCGCACCCACTCTGACGACATTTGAGCTGGCGTTCCGGGTTGTGCCACTTCATATGGTAGTTGAGGCTTTTCCGGGTGAAGAAGCGCTTCTCGCAGAGGCCACATTCAAAGTCCGTGTCCGTGTGATATTTTTCAACGTGGTGACGGAGGTTGTGCCGATCGCCGTACTTCTTGCCACACACCTCACAGGTGTGCTGCTTCTCCACGTGACAGCTCTTGAGGTGCACGGTACGGGATGCCGCATCCTGGAAACAGGCATCGCATTCTGGACAATTGTACGGCTGCTCCGAGTCGTGGCTAGTGTTGATGTGCTCCAGGAGCAACTGCTGCAGCTGGTAGCTTTCCTGCGGCCGCAGACAAAACTTGCAGGTGTAACTAATGGTCAGCTGCGGGCTAGTGGCTTCCTCGAGGTCTGGCTGCAGCTCCTCCTCCTCCTCGTCCACAAAAATCTCTATGGGTTCAATGGCAGTGTTTGGTGGAGTTTCGGCTGAAACCGTCGTTGTTGTTATGTCTGGTCCTATTCCCTCCACATCTTGCACTTGGTCTGAGGAAGCATCTCCCTGATCATCCTCCTCCAGGCTGTTGGCATCGATTTTGTCGTATATATTGGACAACTTCAGCTGCGCCTCCTGGCAGACCCCTCGAAAGGCGTTTATGGAGCAAAATTTAGCGAAACAATCGCTGCAGATCTTTTGGGGTAAGCCGTCATTTGGGGAGATCTGGGAATGTTTTATAAAATTAAAAGGCTTTTTATATTAGTTTATAAATTAAAATACAAAAGATTTAAATTTAAAATCAAAATTAAAAAAATTTATTGAAAGATTTAATCTTTTCAATTAAAAATACCGTTAATCTGACTGAAACTTTCTAAAAATAATATATAAGACCAACATTTTTCAAGAGCTTTTGTTAAAAAAATAAGATTATCTAATTTCGAAACTTGTTTATTATTACTATTATTTTTTATTTTTATTTATTATTTATTAATCTTTCCAATTAAAATTAACGAGAATCTAACTGAAACTTTCCAAAAATAATATTTTTCAAAAACCAACATTTTTCAATAGCTTTTGTTTCAAAAATAAGATTATCTAATTTCGAAACTTATTTATTATTACTATTATTTTTTATTATTATCATTATTTCTCTTTCCTTTAGCAAAACCCTGCCATAATTTGCAACTTTCACTTTGAAAACCTGCAATTTTTAGCCCACTCTTGTGGTTACCCCACTCCTTTTGTTACTCCACTTTTTTTAGACACTCACCTCAAGATTCCAGTTAACAAACTGCAGTCGTATCTGGGCCATCTCGCTGGGCCAGCAATTGGGATGGTAGAGATCCAAGAAATTGTTGCTGCCATTTTCGGAATCGCATACAAACATGGAAATCGCACAGGTGCGACACGTTTCCATGGTGGCGGCCACAAGTCAGTGCCCAGCGAAACGGCAGCAATGCATTAATATGCAACTGCAACGCCCAAATTCGATGCGGCGGAACCCATTTCCATGGATTCATGTGTCGGTCTGTGCGTTTGTGTGTGTATTGTGATGCGTGTTGGGAATTATGCAACTTTATAATTATTACACTGAAAAATCCAGGTCCAAATCTAAATCCAAATGCCACATCTCATCTGTATGTGGCGAGAAATATTTACAAAACAAATGTTTTTCACGCCTAATGGATGCTGGGACTGGGGCACTCTGAAAAGTTTTGTGTCTGTATCCGGGTGACGACCTATCTATCCTTATGCCCAACCTCCCCACCATGCCTGGCCTGTCCTGTACTGCGCCTATCCTGGTCCTCTTTTGGCGGCCGACGAAGTTGCTTGGCGCGCACTCCCGCGTGAACTGACCTTCGTGACGGCCCAATCTGCTTTGGCTTGCAGCGCCGAGAGATTTAATGGACGCGCATACACTTATCTATGCAGAGTCTCGCCCACCCTCACACCCCAACCACCCAGCAGTTACTACATGGCTGTTCGGCCGAAGCCATCAGCTGTTCCACTTTGTTTGGGTACTTGCGCAAAGCTCGCTAACGCAACCCGAGGGGGCACCAATGGTGGCACAGTTTATCGAACTCCCCACTAACGTGCCACTGCCACAAAAAGCTTCATGCCCCCATCATACTCCCCAACGAAAGCGTTTGCAACTGCAACTGTAAAGTTAAAGCTCAAACGGAAAAAACTTGAAAATATCTGCCTCTTTGGGTTTATTTGAATTTTTTTGGTTATCACCCCCAGGATATCCTTTATCAGAAAGCCGATATATTAAGTTTTTTTCCTGCAACTAAATATTAAGTTATAATTTATAGCTATCATTATGTACAGATTACACGGTTTTATCTTAAAATTAAAGTTTTCCTCTTACTATCTAAGAATTATCCTACTCCCGACTCCTGCTACTAACTTGGCGGGAGAATGCCTAAAGCGCAGAGACAAAGTTTGGCGGCGTTTAGCTTCGCTTCCTTCTTGTTATTGCAGCCCCTGTCCGGCGTGTAAGTCTGCCCGTTGATCTCCACCGAGAATAGGAACGTCCGGCAGTGGGGCGGACCGGTATTCTCGCGAAGCGTGTATTGCGGTGGCGTCCATTTATTCTTTGAAGTCAGTTCGTTCAGCACACACACGGGATGTTTGTCCTGTGTGATTAGTGGAGGGCATGTCCCCGTCGGCGGCCCTGCCATGGCTGCTCCACCCATCCGCGTTCCCGGTGGGCCGGGTCCTCCGATGGGAGCAGGTGGGTTCTTGTTTCGCCGCTGGACAGGTGGCTGTCGCGACTGAGGTGGCTTGAGGTCATCGCGAGATACCAGGCCTCGTTTATCCAGTTTAACATCCAATAGAAGGGGCTGCAGAGATCCTGTTTTGGTTCTTCCCAGGCCTTCACCAGGCTTCCAACCCATTTTTTGCAGCAGCGCCATACCCATGCCCCCGGTCACCGGTTTGGTAGATGTCAATTGGTCCTTGCGCACCCACAGCTGGGGCCCGCTGTTTAGTTCGTGGGCCTTCATCACCTGAGCTCCAGTGCTGCCGGTGAACTGACCAGGCAAGTGCTTCGAGTTGGCCCAGGAAGACATATTGCGCTGAGCGATGTACATCATTTTTAAAGCTTCTGAATCAGTTGGATTATCCTGAAAATGGATCTTGATTAATCTCGATACCTATAACCTGTATTGAGCTTTGAGCTGACCTGTAATCGTCGAATGGCACTTAAGCGCTGAGTAATGATGCTACCCACATCCATCGAGGGCGGTGCCACCTCCGGAAATATCGATTCACTTGGCGCAGGTTTTGGTGCTGGTGTTGCCGATGGTATGGGCACCTCAGGAACAAATGGTGCCGCAGTTGCCGGCGGTGCAGCATCGACTGTAACCGGAACGGGCGGCGGGACGGGTTCTGGAGCAGAAGGAACGGAAGGGCTTACACTGGGTCCCCCCATTGATTTAAAGGCTGGTTCTTGCTGATCCTGCGGGGGGATGGACTTGGCAAACACGTTCTTTTGCGTTTCCTTGAAAATAGTTGTGGATTGCTTTGCGACTGGAAGAGAAGGCAGTGGCGCCAGTCCACTCTTGGGCTCCACCGGCACCCACACCTCGTTCATGCGATGCGTTTGTCCCGATGAAACCGGAAACTGCATCGTTATGGCCTTCGTTTGATCCTCCCGCCGTGCTGTGGCTGGCGTCAGAGGCGTGGCGTTACGTATGTGCATCACAATCGGTTCCCGTTCTTTAAGCTGAAATGGATGATGGAAGGCCTTCGCATTTCCATTTTTATCCACGTCAGAATCCTCGTCCGAGCTTAGATCGGAGAGACCGTCACCGTTGGAAATTTTTTTACAGAAATCTGTCAGATCCTGAACAGTTCGCCCGCCGTAACGCATTTTGACCAACACCTTATCCTTGACCTCAGGTGTCATATTTGCAACTCCGGGCAGTGTTCCCCGCTTGAACATATTAATGGCGTTTTTGCGGGCGATCTCCAGTAGGCGCTTTTTGTCAATGCCCAAATCTCGCGATCGAGATCGTGAGCGTGATCTTGACCTCCGCTGTCTCCGGGAATCATGATCGCGCCCTCTCCGCTTGCTCTGCGGTGGCTCTGGCCTGGGCACTTTTTCTTCTTTTGGTTCTGATTTTGGCTCCTCCTTTCCATCATAAAAAGGATTGTGATGCGGCCGGCGGCGACCATTAGAAGCCTTCTCCCGGAGAAACGACTCCTCATCGGATAGTGAGACGTCAGAGACATCGTGAGACTGTCTTGACTTGGACTCGGCTTCAGTATCTCTCGGCTGGGCCGCATCTCGGCCATTATAGAAGCTATTGCCGGAGCGGTCCCGTTCCCTTTCTCGACCATGATCCCTGTCTCGTTCATGATTTTGGCCCTTTTCTTTTTCCCGGTCCCTATTCCTTTCGCTTCTCTCCCTCTTTAAAAGGGAATGCGAGTCCGAATGACTGTCCACCTCGTTAGATGATCTCTTCCTGTTTTCAGACTTTACTTTATCCTTCCCAGTCGTTGTAGTTTTATCAGTAGAAGTCGTCCTCCCACCCGCCAACGGTATTTTTTCCTTGGACTTTTCCCGATCCCGAACTTTATCCTTGTCCTTGCTGTCTTTGTGTTTGTGCTTGTGCTTCTTTCGCTTGCGCTTATGCTTGCCCTCGGAAGAATTGGCGTCACTGCACTCGCCATCCGATTTGGGAGACTTCTTCCTTTTACTTTTCTTCTCCTTTTTCTCCTTCTTGACTTTTTTCTTCTTCAGAAGATTCTTATCGTCTAGCAGTTCTTCAGGCGGAGCAGCGTTAAAAACGCCAAAAAGCTCGGCGAGGATCTCGTTGGATGACTTGACGGGCACAATGTCTTTCTTATCCTCTGCAGAGGAGGCCTCGCTGTCTTCCGACTCATCTTCCCGATCTTTGCTAGTGCTTTGCGATGCAGCCAAAGCTTCAGCCTTATACTTGGCATTAAGGGCCCGAAGCTTGGCCTCCACCTCTGCATCTGGTCGCTCGCATTTCACCTTTACGGATGGGCCAATCTCGGAGGCAACTGGTTCCTGCTCAGGAGGTTTTGGGTCCACATTTGGCTCGGCTATTCGAGGGTTCTCCACGCCAGCTGCGTGCTCCGTTTTTTCCGTCATTGCTATTTGTTAGCCCGCGGCATGGGGCGGTCGTCCTAGTATCCATGCATACCGATGGAAAGCTCCGTAGATCACAAAATTCCTTATTTCTCGAATGTAAATGTTTTTTTTCGCACGCCTTGTTAGATTCTCAACAATAGAGATGAGATTTACTCGTATATCGATTCGATATAAATATCGGATGAAGTAAACATACAAAAACAAACAAATCTGAATCCTTTAAAGGACATGAATGTTCCGTTCATTTAAAAAGGCTTTACCCTAATTCTTTAGTAAAAAATGTATTACTTTATTACCATAAATAAAAACAAGCTAAATTTCTTTCATCTCTATCGATGGTCTTGACAAGCAACAAAATTACAGTTGGCAGCCCTCTACGCCAACCGCAGCCAACTTCACTCACGTCGCTGTCACGAATTGCAATTTTTATAAAAAGAAAAAAATTGTCAGAAAAAAGGCGTTTTAGTGTCAGTGTCGTCGAGCTAACTATATTTTATACCTGCAAACGTAAGTAGTTCACCCATCAAAGTCCAATTAATGAAAATTCCATCATTTGCGCGTCAATTTCGGTGTATTTTATCGCCATTTCCTTTTTCGTCGCCATCGTGCTGCTTGACTTTGTGTTGCTCCGCAGCGCCTGCAACTGTGTTGGTCGGTTCTACGTTATTTTTCGCAGTTTTGCCGTGTCTATGTAACAATGATATGTGTCGTAGTATGCGTGTGATTAATTTTCCTTCGTTCATTCCCAATTGAAACAAATTGTTTAACAAGTCACCCTAGAGGTGTACGTCCTACATCTCAATATAAAATTTCAAATATTTTTTGAGCATACGCACATTTATTCAGTGAACTGAATTTTCTTATAGATATTACAACTACATCAAAAAACAGAAGAATCGGCCACAAGATGACGTCTTTGGAGCAAAATCGTTTGCAAAACTTCAAAAACAAAGGAAAGGACCAAGATGTAAGTTTTTCCCAATTAGATGTAACAATCAGGTGAATATATATCCATTGTATTCTAGGAGATGCGTCGTCGCCGAAATGAGGTTACTGTAGAGCTGCGAAAGAACAAGCGCGAGGAGACCATTCTCAAGCGACGGAATGTGCCCAACTTGGATTCGAACACAGATGAGGACGAGCAATTGCCCACTTCCATTAATTTGAAGAAGCTCGCCCAGGCTGCCGCAGATTCCTCTAAGCCGGACCAGCAGCTTGCCGCCGTCCAAGCCGCACGCAAGTTGCTCTCGTCCGACAAAAATCCACCTATCAACGATCTGATTCAGAGTGACATTCTGCCCATTTTGGTGGAATGCCTGAAACAACATAATCAGACAATGCTGCAATTCGAGGCCGCCTGGGCTCTGACCAACATTGCTTCTGGTACTCCAGATCAGACCAACCAGGTACGCTACGCAAATTATTGCTTACTAATTGGACCTTTTCTTGACAATATAAATTATCCTTATAGGTCGTTGCTGCTGGTGCCGTGCCGCTCTTCCTTCAACTTCTCAACTCGCCCGCTCCAAATGTTTGCGAACAAGCCGTATGGGCGCTAGGTAACATCATCGGCGATGGTCCGTTGTTGCGAGATTTTGTCATCAAGCACGGCGTAGTTCAGCCACTGCTGTCGTTCATCAAGCCGGACATCCCCATTTCGTTCTTGCGCAACGTAACCTGGGTGATTGTTAATCTGTGCCGCAACAAAGACCCTCCCCCTCCGGCCGCCACCATTCACGAGATCCTGCCCGCACTCAATGTGCTTATCCATCACACCGACACAAACATCCTGGTGGACACAGTATGGGCGATCAGCTATCTAACTGATGGCGGCAATGAGCAGATTCAAATGGTTATTGAGAGCGGAGTGGTACCCAAGCTGATACCACTACTTGGAAACAGCGAAGTCAAAGTGCAGACTGCTGCGCTGCGTGCCGTTGGCAATATTGTAACCGGATCCGATGAACAGACGCAGGTGGTGCTTAACTATGATGCGCTCTCCTACTTCCCGGCCTTGCTCTCGCACCCGAAGGAAAAGATCCGCAAGGAAGCGGTCTGGTTCCTGTCTAACATCACCGCCGGAAACCAGTCACAGGTACAGGCCGTCATCAACGTTGGTCTTCTGCCCAAGATCATCGAGAACCTGAGCAAGGGCGAGTTCCAGACACAGAAGGAGGCCGCTTGGGCAATTAGTAACCTTACCATCAGTGGCAACCGCGAACAGGTCTTCACCCTGATCAAAGAGGGCGTCATTCCGCCTTTCTGTGATCTCCTTTCGTGCCAGGATCCGCAAGTTATCAACGTAAGTGATTTGGTCTCTAGGTCTCTTAATGAATGAATACCCAATACTTTATTTTTTTAAAAGGTTGTGCTTGATGGTCTTAACAATATGCTCAAAATGGCTGACTCTCATGTTGAGACGGTGGCCAACTTCATCGAAGAGTGCGAGGGTCTGGCCAAGATCGAGAGGCTCCAAAGCCACGAAAATGTTGAAATTTACAAACTAGCCTATGAAATCATCGATCAATACTTCACAGATGAAGTGAGTATTAATTTATTTTTGGTTAAAAACAGATTTAAATTTCTATTCTTATAGGGCGAACAGGCTAGCATGGCGCCCAGCTCTGACGGAACACAATACAACTTTGATCCAAACGCCGATAAACTACCAATGAACTCATTCAACTTTTAACGATACAAACTTTAAAGCCAAGCAGCGACAGAAACAGTACAGTGGAAACCAAACACGTGCAACAATATACATTTTGGCACTTTTAAACCGTACACACAATTTGTGTATGAACCCCGACACGCCGGAACTCAATTCACATAATATTATAATTTGTACACCCCAAAACAGCAGCAATTAGACAGCCAAGATTTTTTCAAGAGCAAGGATAAAAACTGGATGATTCACCACGGGACAACACTGCTGGAGACGTTTTAGCTTATCTCAATACTGTGTTATCAAAATTATTAATTTCAACGACGCATACACGCACGTGTATGGATGTATGCAGTGCAAGAAGTAATTTTATTGGACTGACTCTGTCAAGAATTCATCCAAAATATATTACAACATACACACACAGGAACGATAAGATTCAAAAACAATGTAGAACTATTTGATTTATATGGATTAATTTAAAAATATGTACGCCTTTTGATTTGAAATTACATATGTATACATTTCTAACATGAAAGCGATGAAAACCAAATGCCTAGCACTGTGTTTTGTTTCCAGACAGCAGATAACTTAACCAGAAAACTATAAACACAAGTGTTTGGGTTTCTGTGGAAGGTAGCTACTAGCTGCTAGTTAGACGAGCCATCGCCCGAGTTGCTGCTAATTAGCATTTATTTCGATTTGTGCGTCACTTGAGCACGTTTTCCATTAATGCGCAATAGCCGTGACAGCTGGGCTGGACTGGACAACCGCGTTTGCTCCACAGTGCGCCAGCGGAATATTCACACTTGGCAGCAGGTCCAATATATATGTAAACAGTTCTCACACCCCACACAAGATCAAAAAATTACAAATGAGGGAGTGTGGTGTAGCCTTGGAGGATGAAACAAAAATACATCTACCATCAAAATTATTTAAACAAACGAAATAAGTTTATTTTCGGCATGGCCAACATTTGAACAATTAACATTTTGTAATGAACTAAGGGCACTAGTATGATTTTTAAGGGTTTGGAAATTTTTTAACTGTGGGTGAGGCTCATTAGTAATGAGTCATTACGTGGGTAATCCCTAATTTGAAAAAATCTTTTGGCTAAAAAAATAATTTCATGTGACAAATATGTGTTTCAAAATTTTTTACATAAGCTTTAAGCAACTAATTAAATTAATTTTGTTTCTGTTTTTATTTTACATTTTGAAACTTGAATATTTTCTGGGTATAATAATGTATCATTTAAAAAATTAAAAAGAAATAAACGTAAACATACAAATTATAGATCATTGGCATTTTTCTATTAAACTGGCTTGCAAATTAATTATAACTTTAATGAATAAATGTTTCCAAAGGTTTTTATTTAGAAAACTATACATTTTACAAGTTTTAAAGTTTTATATTTTTTGTAACAAATTTATTGATATTTCATACGCGATGCGTAATAAGCATCACGTAACGTGATACGACAATTACTAGGGTGGCAGCGCTACGTAATGTAAAAAACGTAGTTCTAGTCCGTTCCGCTAGGTGTATTTCAGGGTTGCAATCATTTGAATAGTTTTCAATATAACAATTAAACAAATTTGTGGTTTTTTAAACACAAACTATTATTTTTATATATTTTATGGTTGAGCATACATATATTTTACCGCCAAGTTAAAGAAATAATAATACAAAAAAATAAAGCCTTGTGCTCGCGTGACTCCCAAATAAAGATCATGCGTATGTGGGTTATTTTTAGATACATTGCATTTTCTGCCAGCTTCCGTAAACATTTCGCCGGAAATTGGCACACTCAGGCTCCAAGGCTATGGTCAAGGTCAAGGCTGGTGCAACGAGGGATTTTTTAACTTTATTAAAAACCTGATTACCCGCGTAAATTTAAATATAATTAGAGGAAAATAAATAAATATTGTCAGATCTTTCGAAAGTCAAGAGAGTACGTAGGAATGTATGTAACTATATAACGTGAGAAAAGAGAAAGAGCTAACACGTTAGGATGTAATTGGTCAAAGGCGTAGGTAATTTAAAAGAGTGGGGGTAATAAAAATTGGTTAACACCCGTTTTCATTTAGATTCTAAATATAGAATAAGAGAACATATCTAAAAAAGTCTATATTATTCAATGATATCTGTGAATTCTATGCCACCTACGCCCATGCCATCAGCTGTTTGGTTTACTGAGAGTGGCTCTCTCTATTTGTGCGCACACGTAGCAAACGTCGAGGTGTTTCAGCGCTGGTTTCTGTATGTTTTTGCTTCCGTAGGTGTCTGGTCGACGGATTATCAACGCTGCTCGTGGAATTTTTCGCACAAATAACACAATGTCGTCCGCCGCCGTTCAGCCCCCGCCACCCGTGCCACCCCCACCACCACCAGCCTCGGCAGCAGCTTCCGCAGGAAAAGGAATTCATTCCAAGATATACAATGGAATAATTGGAGCAGCCGACAAATTTGTGCCCGCCAAGATGCGCCCACTCTGGATGCATCCAGCTGGTTAGTGTTGTTATTTAATATTTATATTCCTCTATTAACCTGTTGCTTCCGTAGGACCCAAGACTATCTTCTTCTGGGCACCCTTCTTCAAATGGGTAAGTGACCAGACAGACGGGACAGGAAGGGATTACATAACTGGGACATCGCGCGACCTTCGCTGATTTTCATTATCGCACACATACTCGCGCGCACCATCAATCCAAGCAGCAGTATACAAATCTGTGCGCAGGTGCCATTAAACGAAATTATTTGATTATTTTGAGCAACCTGCGCTTGATAACTGCCGTGTCCATGTGAGCGTACAAGTTCCGAGCACTACTGTGACTTTGTTTATCGAATTTTAAACAAGCTACGTCGGAAATATGTCTCGCAGAAAACCAGTTTTGAATGCCTCCAAACACTCCAACAACAAACAAAGCAAAATCTTAAATATCTACCTTTTGCAGGGTCTGGTAATCGCAGGATTAAGTGACTTGGCCCGTCCAGCTGACTCAATCTCCGTGTCCGGATGCGCCGCCTTGGCTGCCACGGGCATTATCTGGTCCCGTTATTCCCTGGTGATCATACCCAAAAACTACAGCCTTTTTGCCGTGAATCTCTTCGTGGGCTGCACCCAGGTGGTGCAGCTGGCACGAGCCTACAACTACAAGATGGAGCAGGATAAGCTGCAGAAGGAGGACCCGAAGCCGGCACTGACCCAGTAGATCCATATCGAATCCAATACCGGTGCTATCCCGACCCATAGAAAATAATTTCCCACAATGGCACAATGTAATCGAGTAGTAGGTTTAAAGGAAACTGTGTTTGCAGATCTGTGATCTGTGTTTTAAAATCTGCTAGCCGTTTTTACTAATGGTTTATCGCCTTATCGACGTGATTCGTATTACTTAAGTTGGAACTGTGGAGGCTTCACGAATAGTTTATATTAATACGAGCATTATTGGACATTTTGTGATTGTCAACAAATAAACAAGTACATGTTAAGACTGTAAATAATATCGAATATGATTTGTTTTTAATTATTGTATATTAGTATGAATTAATCTGATTCTTTTTATAAACTTTTTAGCAAGTTTATATTTAAAACTGGTTTTATAGTTAGAGCTCGAAAGTCAATGAGTGTAAGGTATTGGCAAAGGCTACAAGATCATTTAAAGCTTTACAAATTAATATTTAGTTTTAATATTTATTTAACTACCTACATTTAGCTCCACTTAAAGTTTTATTAATTGCAGCATGCAGCTGGAAACTAATAATATTTGCAGTCCCAAATGGGATTTTTATGAACCATAAAAACTTGGAAAGGTGTCGGAGCAATTCATTAGTTTTTGATAGTGCTAGTGATAACAGAGCTAAACCTCCAATGCGAGAGCAGGAAAGCTCAGTCGTCAGTGGAAGCTTCAATGGAGCTGTCGTGCCTCAGATCGTACTAGCTCCATTTTCCTAGACTAGACGACAACTAGACAGTTATCGCATCCAAATCATTCATCAAACACTTGATTGGAGATAGCTTTGATTAATTTTTATAGCAGATTCATCAAGGACTCAAGTTTTAATTAGTAATCAGGAGAGCTAAGTTTAGGGAAGAATGTCGACCGGACCTTCCACTCCCGCTTCCAAGGCACTGCCTTCCACCGGAAAAGGACTTACCTCTAAGGCCTACAATGGCCTGATTGGAGCCTGTGATAAATTCGTGCCCGCCAAGTTTCGGCCCTTATGGATGCATCCAGCAGGTAAGGGATCTACATAACGTTCTTGATACAATATTTTTAATATTTTCCTTTCCAGGACCTAAAACCATATTCTTCTGGGCACCTCTCGTCAAATGGGTGAGTTGGGAGGATTGTGACATAATTCTGAATTGTGAGCGTCCTCCGCTTATGTTCATTATCAGCGAGCTGATAAACAAATCTGTGGGCAAGCTGCTAAACCAAGCGTATATTGTGTTTTTATTATTTGTTTATTTCCCGGAGTATAGTAGCGATTCGCGATAAATATGTATGTGTCCGTATCTGGATTTGGTTTAGTGGCATGTGCGAACATTCTGATAACTAAATGAGATGGCATTTTTTGCAACACGCCACAAAACTTTCCAATCAAGGGGATCCACCTTACTAATCTCCCTTATCCTCAAATCTTTTTTTCTTCCATAGAGTCTCGTTATTGCCGGTCTTAGTGATCTAACGCGTCCTGCGGACAAGATTTCGCCCAACGGATGCTTGGCTCTGGGAGCAACGAATCTTATTTGGACGCGATATGCCTTAGTGATTATTCCAAAGAATTACAGTCTATTCGCTGTAAACCTTTTCGTGAGTCTGACGCAGCTCTTTCAACTGGGACGCGCCTACAACTACAAGTGGGAGCAGTCCAAATTGGAGAAGGCCAAGGACCAGGAGCAGCCATCTGTGGAAGCTAGTCTTTAATTTAAATAGTAAATGTTTTAAAACCTTTGTGTGGAAAATAAACAAAAATTAACCTATTTTTTATGATACATTGGTCAAAATAAGGCTTGCGGATGCTTAAAACGGTGACGAGTTTTAATCTCGTCGGGTTATTCGTTTTTTTGATTGCTTAAATACCGTTTTTTGATTTTTCGAATTTTTTCCAAGGGGTAATCCCATAAAATAGTTGGTATTCCTAAATTCCCCACTTTTGCTCCTTCCGATGACCAAAGCTCTGCCAAATTGTGTCCGATCAAAAAATAAAGTACCATATTGTAATCAGCGAACACAGATGCGACTTTCCTCATTCAAAACATTGCCTAAATACCGTATTAAAATTTTTCGAACTTTTCCCATGGGGTTCCCCATGAAATTGTGGGTTTTTCTAGTTTTCCCACTTTTGCTCCTTCCGATGACCATAGCTCTATCAATTTTCGTCCGATCAGGAAATAAAATACCATTTTGTAATCAGCGCACCCAGAAGCGACTTTCCTCATTCTAAACATTGCTTAAATATCGTTTTTAAAATTTTCAAATTTTTCCAAGGGGTTCCCCCTAAAATAATAATAAACAATCTTTTAAAAACATCAGCTGTTGTGTCCTACGGAAGCAAATATGGAAGCATTCGGTCACACTTCAAATACAATTTCTTAATAAAAATCGCGCGTTTATCTAGTTTACTTCGAATATAAAGTAGAATCCTTAAATATATTCAAATGGCTCTTGTGGACTACGTAGAAAGCAGCTCTTCCGCCTCCGAAGGCGAGGACCCCTTAAGCAACACCTCACCAGCCGTCTCACAGAAAAGGTAATGTAGTTTTTGGGAATCCTCCGAATTTCTACATTTTAATGTGAAGATTTGCTCTGCCCACAGCAGAAACGCTTCTGGGCTGCAAAAAACCCAAGCCGGAAGAGGTAGTTGATGATCCTGCCCAGCATGGTGGACGCATCCGTAGTTTTAAGCACGAACGAGGCAACTGGGCCACCTACATCTATGTGCCGGCTGGGGCTTGTGAGGAGCAGCTGGAGGATTTCCAAGCCGAAGCTATGGCCAAATTAGCTCCCGAAGTCGAGTTGACAGCCAACGAGTCCTTGCATCTCAGTCTAAGCCGGACTGTAGTGCTTCAATACCATCAGATTGAAGAGTTCTCAAGATCACTAAAGACTGCTCTTCACAGCTGCACTGGGTGAGTTTGGTTGAACTTCATGAGCCGAGTTCTTTTTATAAAAAGGCTATTTTAGCTTCTCAGCCAGTTTGCAGGGTCTTCGGATATACACGAACGATGAGGGCACTAGAACTTTTGTTGCCGCCCAACTAGACGCGGCCTTTACAGAGAAGACGACCAAGCTCCTCAAGCCCATCGACTCAGTGATGCTGGAATACAGGTTGCCTCCATTCTATGACCCGCCATCGTTCCACGTTAGTCTGCTTTGGTGCGTGGGCGACCAAACAAAAGTTCTTACCGAAAAGTTAGATGAACTGCAACAGTTGCTTGCGAATCAGGAAACACTACCACTTGCTGTCACTGAAGTTCATTTGAAGTGTGGCAATAAGGACTTTTCCTATTCATTAAAATAGACTGATATTAACTATGATGTTCAGATTTTTTAATACAATTTTTATTGAATGAAGCCTTTAAAATGTTGAATTGGAATAATGAATAGTTATTCATGTTTAAATACAAAGTCCGTTAAAATATCCTTTAGTTTTGTCCTTTCTTTTTATTTCCATTGCCCTGCTTAGCCGCCTGGGCCTGTTCCTCTATGAGACGCTCCTCCTCCAATTCCAGAAACCGTTGACGACGGCGACCCAGAGGTGTCTTGGACCACCAGGACTCAAAAGCCTCCTCTTCTTCGCGATAGACAGGATCTCGAGAGCTGTTATTGGATTAAAATCTGAAGCAGTGCACTAGGGTGACTTAAAACCACCCACTTACCACAAGACATTTATAAGTTCGGCATTGGTCAGGGGCTGAGTGCGCAATTGCAATTTCCGCTTGCAGGTCATCACCTCCCTAATACAAGCATCAATAGATCCAATAGTATAACCATCGGAAATTTTGGCCATGACACTTGTGTCCAGATTGGAGATACCACCAGAATATTGGCTAAAATTGTTAAACGGGAATATAAAAAAAATCCTTTTAAAATGTCAAGATAGTTCTTACTGAAGCAAAGATTTCCAAGCATGCGACATGGCTCCGTAATCCGGACGTGGAATATAAATGAATCGATTGTAGACCGACTGCAGGAGCTTCTGGTCAGCTTCCCACGGCAGATTTGAGGTTCCCACAAAAATAACGCGATCTTCTGGTGCAATATTCTTTATAAGCTTGGGCAAATCCTTTTTTAGTCGCTTGGGATCTGTTCTGTCAGTCTTTGGAATCTTTTTCATGAACGGACGCTCTGCATCTCCCATGTAAATGACCGCGGGCTGAAGCAACCTGGACACCTTGAGCACCAGATGAATAAGCATTATAAGGCCTGATTTTCCCGGATATTTTCCGACGATATTTGCCGGAGTCAAATCGAAAAGCACAGCTCCAACCTCCGTGCAAATGGCGTGCAAAAGAGCCTTCTTTCCGGATCCCTTGGGCCCGGCGAGCAAGACAGATCGAATGAGCGGTGTGCAGTTGTGAATGGCTTCAGAGCCGAGTGGTAGAATGCAGTATTCCGTGAGGATCTGCCGGATGTCGCCAGGAGATGGATTCGTTCCATTTCTGGCAGTCAGGGCCTTATCACCAAGAAACTGCTTAAGCTTCAGTTCAGGATACTTTCTGATAATTCCGTTTGTGACCAGCTCCTCGTAGAGCGACTCGGTAGTGCGGTCTGGAGTTAGATCCTTCTCCTTCTTCTTTTTGCTCTTCTTGCCAGAGCGGCGAGTCTTCTTGCTGCTCTTCTTTACTTTCTTACCAACAGCCGTTTGCAGGAGCTCGATCTCCTGCCGCATAACATCATCGACGGCGCGCCGGAACTCTAGCTCCACCTCCTGGTACTTGTCGCTGTATATCATATCCTCGTAAGCTGCCTGGCTCAGCACGCCAGTCTCGTCCTTGTCCCGCCAGGTGTCGTTAAAACTAAAAACATATAATATTATAAATATATCACCTCCATGAACTCATTAACTTACAGATCGATCTCCGCACGGATGTCTGGCAGGCAGACTGACTGTGCCGGTTGAAAGCTCATATCTTCTTCCTGGTTTTCGTTAACATTGAGATCACCGCTACGCGCCGGTGACTTGGATTTATCCTTGGTCTTACGCGACTCCTTAGAGGATCTTGCCGACGATCGGCTGTGCTCGCTCTCGGTGCCCGGCCGGCTGAAAATATGCAAGGATCCCCCTTGGTCCTCAGACGGGAAGTCTGGCAGCTTGCCAGTTTTATCGTAGCAGTCCTTTACCCAGCCTCGTATCTCGTCAGCGATGTCCTCCTTCATGCTGGCGCCATGCTTGGTCCGGATCTCCTCCTGAACCACCCGCTGCCGTTCTTCAAACTGCTCCCCGTAGAGAGCCTGTGCCTGGTAGCGCTTCTCATTGTGCTGTAACTTCTCCAACTTTTCTGCCCGCTCCTTGAGTACAGCCGGCGGTGGCGGCAGCATGCCGATCAAGATCATCTCCTCCATTTTGCGTCGTCGTGTGATGCGGCGGGCTGTGTGACCTCGCCACATCTTCTGGATCTTCATGGCAGCCAGAAGCCCAGAGTCGCTGCGTTCCTTTTCACTCCGTTCCTCGGACTTGCCTTTCTCCTTGAGGATTCGGATTTCCTTCATGAAATGAGCCCGCAAGCGTCCTTGTCGGGCTCTCTCATGCATCTGAAGCATCCGAATGGCTTCGATTTCTGTGGTGATTGTCTCCTCCATTTCGTTCTCTTCCAGCCAGCCAAGTTTAAAGAGAATCTCCTGCATAGTTTTCTTTCGGAACTCTAGTTCCTGTTGCCTCTCTCGCAGGAAATAACGTGGAACCCGCAACTCCGTATCCATGGGCGTGAGCCGCAACCGCTCCACGACGTCGTCATTATAACTAAACTCCATTAGGTCAATGTTCACCAGATCGTGCTTCAGCTCAACCACACGTCCCAGACAAGCGTCTAGCAGTTTTCGCACCAACTGGCGCTTCTGTGGCTGAATCATCTGTGGAAAATAAACAATTTCGAAGGAATTCAGCATCCTCTATGGACCATACTATGTGGTACATCTTACGTTGTCATAAACATCCTCCAGACGATTGCTTAGGCAGATGTAGCGGAGATAGAACTCGTAGAGACTGGCTTGCAGCAGGGCCTTGGCATCTGCATCGGCGGCCACAGAACCCAAAGTGGCCACTGTCGTGTCCAACTCCTGATGCTGCCTTTCGTAGTCGATAGTTGAGAGCAGCTCGCACTCATGTTGGGCAGTGTGCCAGATGTCGTTGAAATACGTACTGGACATGGCTAACCTTAATCCGGTAATGGACTAACTCTTCTTTTTAAAACTGTTTGTTTTATGTTTCCAGGTGGAAACGCAGTTGCTAGGCAGGTTGTTTTTCTTAGAGGAAAGTCCTTCCAAAAACAAATACATTTCTTAAGATTTTTAATGGATTTTATAGTTTATAATATAATACATTTTATAATCATTATTTGCATCGAAGTCTCCTCGATATACACCCACAAGTAGTACATGGAATAATCTTAAAAATATAGCCCAATGGCTTACATGGAGAATAGTTAATGGAATAGGCTAAAATATCGCAATTCTTGTTTGGTTAAATGGTTTCCTGGGTATATTTGATTTAAGAGCAAATACTTGTTCATTGTTTGCCTAAAATTGCGAGCAAAGTCGTTTGATATAAGGAATCACACAAATTAAGACGTAGATAATAAATAGTTAACAATATTAGTTATGTTATATGTGCAATTAGGTGTCGTTTTATATATTGTCTGTGGAACAGTACTTTATCATTGATTTGGTATGTTTGAATTGGATACCATTTGTAGAAGCCAGGACCTCGTTGATAAAGCTTTCCGAATTGTGTATTGTTGTGCCTCCGAGGATGACCCTGTAACCAGCATTGTTAAGCTGGTGAACGGATAGCGCTTCCTCATAGGTGGCACCGCCAATAATAAAGACAACCACCTCCTGAGGCGGTCTTCGGAATGGCACTAGCTCTGAATTGATAGCTGGAAATTGAGGATCGAGCTCTCTACCCTTGAAAACATCCTCCAAAGTCTCCTTCAATAGAGGAGTATGTTGGGTAAAGACGTTCTCCACACCCTTCAGGCCCTTGATTAGATTACGGGTCAGTTTTACGGCATCAGTTATTCGCACCATATTGAAAAGATCTCCCTGCCGCACATGGGTGCCAGCATATTCAACAAGGGCTGGAATTACAGCAGCCCGACCGCCTCGTGACTTAATAATCTGCAGCAGACCAGAGGTATCGCAGTTGGCGTGGCGTTCGTATCGCAACGCGTAGAGAGCTACGAGTTTAAGGGAGTCCTCGATGGAAATGCGCTCGTCGGCAATCAACTTCTTTATACGCTGCAGCTGAGCTGAATGCTCCGCCTTGCAAGCGATTTCCTGCTCCAGTTCGGAAACTTCGAATAGGTTTCGCTTATTACTCAGTCCCGAAAGTTCGCCTATCACGCAAAGATGTTTCTGCACTGTGCCGGACATTTTCTTGAACTGCGGGTACGATTCGATGAAGTTCTTCATATCGGCGATGCTCTCAACCTTCTTATGATCGTTGGCTTTGCGCTGAAACTCTTCCATTAGCTGCTTGATAGTCGATCCTATCTCACCGTAGTTGGAGTACATGTTGTTGCCGTAGAACTCATCCTGGTCGCCGGACAAGACTAGTTCCTTAAAGTCCTTGGGGACATTGGGTCTGTCAGAGAGATCTACACGGTTGTTGTTTATGTGCAAAAGCTCATGGACCATAGCCTGATATGTCCATTGGTGCAGTAGCGGCGTGACAGGGTCATCTCTTCGATCGAGTACTAACAGCAGTGGTGGGGCAGCTCCATCTATGTTGGAGCGGAAATCAAAAAGGCTCGATTCTTTGGTAATTTGCTCGTAGATCTGTTTGGCCAGAAGCTGGGCAGCCTGGGAGCCGGCTCGGTAACGAATTACCGGGTTCAGCTTTAAGGACAACAACACTGCAGTTATTCCTTGCATGCTGCGTGATAGGGCGTCAGGAAGCCAGTTAAGATTGGCCATGCAGCATGGTAGGTTGAGGGAGAACAGATTCGGATTAACACAGAGATAGTCCGCATACAGCTCTTTAACCTCTCGCACCGATTCCGATTCATCGCACTCTGCTAAATACTTTATATCCGTGCGGGGTATGATGTTGGTGAAATCTGGAAAACAGTTTTATTCTGGATTAGCCTTTTATAAATAAATATTTATGGTTTAACTCACATATGTAGTAGGCACTATACTTGGGATTCCGCAGTTCGTTGGCCAGGAGTTGAATGTTCTGCTTCGTGGGTCGGATAAATACGATGCACTTTAGGTACTTCAGCCGTTCGTTGGACCTCCCGGAATCGAGACGCTCAAACAGGTACACCTCCCGCTGCAGCATGTCCGACTGGCTAAATGCCATTGAAATGATACTCGTCTAAAAATCGGATATTGAATACGGATGGAATTATACCATATGGTCTGTGGCACTTACCGTCTCCTTGTCCAGCAGGATTATCTTCATGCCTGGCCCAGACTCGGAGCACATTTTATCAATGTACAGCTTTATTCCGCTAATTAGATTCATTGTTTGGCTAGCTAATTTAGGGCGAAAATCGAATGAAAATATTTTTTTCGCAAACAGATGTTCTGGAGATGGGCACTTTTCGATATTTTAGTGATAACAGCGATAAGCACCTGTGGAAGCTTAAATGCGGGCGTTTTTTTATAAAATCTAATAGCTGTTTTTAAATTTAGTTTGATTATTAAAAAAAATGTTTCAACTAGTTTAATTTAAAAATATAGAGCTCCTTGGCACATTCAAAATATTCGCGTTTCCAACGACTACCAAAAAGGAAAACGCGTTAGGAAATTTAGAGATACAGGGTGCCTAGGAATTATCAGTCAAAAGCACAGAAAGCAGCCACAAATTCTGGCATATATTTTTGGATTCAAATTTTGATGGGTACCATGCAGGTGCTTTGCTAAGAACCCGTATAACACAAGAGTAGAAAAGAGCCAAGAAGACGACCCAATGGAGATGCAACTGGGCGCCATGCTGCATGTGTACAAGGGCGAGTGGGGACTGCCGTCCATTGACTTTGAATGTTTACGTGCCTTGGTGAGTTCCGTTGCATCACACAAATCGGCAGCACGCCGTCTTCCTATTATCGCTATCTCTAAATAAAACCAACTCATCCTTTTCGCCGTGCCACAGTGCCTGCTCAGATTCACCAGATGTCCCATGGAAGTTCAGACCAGTTCCAATCCGTTGCGCTCGGGAGCCGGCAAGTTACCCTACCTACAGATTGGCAACGACAAGTTTGCGGGCTACAGGCAGATCAAGCGTGTGCTGGATCGCGAGGTGAGTGCCGAAAGTCGGCAACGGATAACAAAAAACAAAAACAGCGAAAACAATGCCGGGTGAACAAACTGTGTGCCTATTAATAGCTAATACGAACCACTCGTTCAATCCTCTTCCAGGGCTACCCGATTGATGCGCACTTGAGCACCAAACAAAAGCATTTGTCCACCGCCTACGCGAATTGGGTATTCACCAATCTGCATGCGTACTACCACTACTTCCTGTATGGAGAGCCTCACAACTTCGACACCACAACACGCAGCCTTTATGCTAAGCGCACGCCATTCCCCTTCAACTTCTATTATCCATCGTCCTACCAAAAGGAGGCCTGCGATGTGGTCCAGGTGATGGCCGGCTTCGATGTCAACGACAAGATAGACAAGCACGAAGGGGACTACGTAAGTGCAGGGAAACAATGGAGCATATCTTATCAATTTTTGAACCTTTTATTTCCCAATCCGTATTGTAAATTACGTTATTGGTTATTAGTCATTTTAATCATTTATTTCGCAATAGGAAATTAAGATTACTACTATTGAAATATGTTTAATACTTTATTTTGTTATTCAGCTCGTTGGCAATGCCAAAAAGTGCGTGAATCTGCTATCCCGCAAGCTTGGACGCAAGGTCTGGTTCTTTGGGGACACCTACAGCGAGTTCGATGCCATTGTGTACAGTTACCTGGCTATTATCTTCAAGATCACACTGCCCAATAATCCACTGCAGAACCACATCAAGGGCTGCCAGAACCTAGTTAACTTCATCAACCGCATTACCAAGGACATATTCCGAGACGAGGGCTATAGCTCCATCAAGCTCACAAAGACACCGAGCGGCACGGAGGCGAATTTGACGCCCTCGGAGCGCAAGTTCCTGGAATCCGAATTCAACACCAAAGTCGTGGCCGGAGTCGGTGCGGTGGCAGCCATGGCGGCGTTTGCGGCATGGCGAGGAATATACAACCAGGTGGGTGTCACTGTTTGGGTAATGTACAGACCTGACCCCCTAACTTCCTGAAATTTATTCGTTAGTTTTGGGTGAAAGTCTTCATTTGGCTCCAGACACTCTTGTAGAAATTGCATCCTGCCCAAGCAAAATTCACAGTTCACTACATTTGCAAATTCCGATTGCTTCATCCCTTGCAGCTAACGACGCGCTCCTCAACGGACTACGATGGCATAGACTACGAGGATGATGAGCTGGAGGAGGGCTTGGACTAATCGTACCTCTACACAACGATGTCTATGTGTATCTATAGAGTTTACATTTTAAAATATAAAGGGGAGAAGCACAAATCTGTCCAAAGTTAGAACGTTAAAATATGCATTAGATTGGGTCTATTTTTGTGGCAGAGAGAGTGGCAGAAGTGGCAGGAATTCTCCCATAATATTGGTCCAACATAAAATGTTGATGAAAAGCTTTTACAATTTTGTTACTTCCATTCCAAAGATTTCCCCATTGGATGCATTTACCATCCTAAAAAGCGACCCCTTCTAATATACATATGTGGTATATGAATTCTAGTTCCAAAACAGTTTTAAAATTGTGCAAAATAGCATTTGGACTTGGAGTCTGTAATAAAGAGAGCCATCTCGCTCTGGACGAGGAAAGGATTTTTGAATTGTCTTGATCTCTAATAAAAACCAATGTCACTTGGAGTCGCTTGGGTTTATTACACACTAGACTTATGATTACATTTCGAATAGGGGGTCAATACGATAAATAGAGATGTTAGAGTCTACAATGGAATTGGTAGCTTAAGGGGTGGCGTCCGCCGACACACTCATGTCTTGAGTGCATCCTGTAACTTCCGTCGCGCCACGCTGACCCGATCTTCCTGCTTCCGAATATCATCCTCGGATATGATCACCGCATGCATGAGCGGCTGTTCGGGATTCATGAACGCCATGGCGTTTTTGGTTAACTCGGCCTTGGTCGAACTTTGGCCGTGGACGCCAGCATTCAGAATGTGCAGAGCTGTGGCCACAGACTGGAGGACGGTCTGTTCGTTGACATTGGGGCCAACGGTGCGTATGGTCTTGGGCAGTGAAATGTCATCGAGCTCTTCCCCATTGTCGTGGCAGGCGCGCAGGCGTTCCAGTCTCTTTTCCCAAAATAGCTGCTTTGGCTTTTCCTGAGTGCCGTGTTTGGCATCGTGTTTTGCCTTTCCAGGATCCTGTTCGTGGTTGCGGATCGCCGTTACCGGCTGCTTAAAAATCGAGGCAGTCTGTCGAATAGGTGGCACCAGGGAGACATCTGTACGTAATGCTCGACTGAAAGTGATTCAAAATAATTGGTCATTAATAAGGCACTCCTTAAGAACTCACAAAACACACTGAACAGCACACAAAATAAAAACAAAGTGGAAAGAAACATGCATATGAAACAAAACACAGCTCAGGTGGCACAGAGCTACAGCGATTAAGAAGCCAATTGGTGGTTTTTGGATTTTCAGATTTCGTTTTCTTTTCCGGCTGTAGACCTTGCGTCCTGGACGTTGACTACGAAAACAAGACAGGACACGCTTGCATGCAAGAGCCAAGTGCTCCTCCACTTGGCTCTACCTGAGTTCAAGCTGTTGCTGCTGGCGGGGATTGCCGGCGGTCGTGGCAGCAACCGTTGGATTTGTTGTTGCTGCTGCTGCTGGCGTAGCTGCGACTGCGGCACCTGTTCCTGGTCCTTGGCCTAGTTGCGAACGGGCATACTTTCGCTTCAGTGCAGGTCCACTGCTACCGCTTCCATTGCCTCCAGTCAGAGGCATTGGCATGGCACTGCAGCGGTACAACGAGATGGAGGGCGAGGGCAGTGGGCGCTGCTCCACCTTGCCGACTGAAAAGTCAAGATTTCCAGTGTCCAGTCCCTCGCCACGCTTGCTCTCGGCCCTCTTGCCTGTGGGACTGTGGCGGAAAAGACACGGCGATGGAAAAGAATAGTGGACCGTGTGCAAGTGTATGTGTGTGTGTATACATAGTTTATGTTGTGTGGCAGTTATGTGAATGTAATAACAGAAAGGCAGTGAAAGTGATTAATCGTATGTCCGATTCCATGGCGTGCAGTGATCTATACATTGGGGTCAGACCCCAGAAAGTCTGGGAATTCGCCTCCTTATCCCGCATCCTCTTTACCTGTAGTAGAAAACATCCACCTTGTTGTTGTTGTTGCTGCTGCTGTTGCTTGTGATGCTGGCGTTATTATTAGCGCTGTTGGCCGACTTGCGGACATCGTCGCGTTGCCATCCTTTGGGCAGGACATCAACGCGTTTGCGTTCAATTGTTACGCTGGGGTTCATTTGCATGCTCGCCAAAGTAAATAATTAAAATATTCTCAAAGCAGCGTCTAGAGAGAAGCAGTATGACCTTAGATGGGAAAACGGAATTTAACCATTAATCCAGGGCTACCAAGAAAATTTTTCGGCAGAAGTTGCAGGTTAAAAAAATCATTAAAACCTATAATTTTTATAATATATATATTAATAATGATTAACAAAATAGGAGCTGGTTTATTAATAATTCGCATAGGATTTAATAAATTAATTACACCTCAAAGTATACTTTGCATTAATAACTGCTTCGGTCACATTTCCCCACCAATTCGTTGCTCAACACTGGATTGCAATCGATAGCTGCAGGTCTATGCAAGAAGAAGAATAAGCAGCAGAAAAGGCGACGTAAGAAATTTTCAAGTTTTCAATAACACTTTCCTGGCCATTAATACGAGAAAACTATGTAAAACGAACAGCCGGACACCCGCCGCGCCTCAGACACCTCGCCACAGTCGCTGCCCGCGAACAAGAACGCCTGCTAGATTGCCGTTCAATCAGAATTCAAAGCCCTAATTCGCACCAACTAACAACTTCACATCTGGGACAAGTGGCAGCTGCTGGGCGAGCTAAACCTCCACCTCCACTATCATGTCTTCTTCAGCCATTTTCGTGCTGGACGTGAAGGGCAAGGTGTTGATATCGCGCAACTACCGTGGCGACAACATCGACATGGCCGTCATCGACAAGTTTATGCCACTGCTAATGGAGCGGGAGGAGGAGGGCCTGATCACCCCAATCCTGCAGACGGCGGAGACAACGTTCGCCTACATTAAAACCAATAACCTTTACATCGTTTCGACAACACCACGGAACAAGAACGTTAACATCGCCCTCGTGTTCGTATTCTTGCACAAGATCGCCCAAGTTTTTGTAGAGTATTTTAAGGAGCTGGAGGAGGAATCCATTAGGGACAACTTTGTGATCATTTACGAACTGCTTGATGAGCTTCTGGACTTTGGGTATCCGCAGACAACCGATTCAAAGATCTTGCAAGAGTACATCACACAGGAAGGCCACAAACTGGAACTGCAGCCACGCATTCCTGTAGCAGTGACTAACGCGGTGTCTTGGCGCTCCGAGGGCATTAAATACCGCAAGAACGAGGTCTTTCTTGACGTAATTGAGTCGGTAAACTTGCTGGCCAATGCCAACGGAAATGTTCTTCGAAGCGAAATTGTGGGAGCTATAAAAATGCGCGTTTATCTCTCTGGCATGCCCGAGTTGCGCCTAGGTCTCAATGACAAAGTCTTGTTCGAGAGCACGGGGCGAGGTAAATCCAAGTCCGTAGAGCTCGAGGATGTCAAGTTCCATCAGTGTGTACGCTTGTCTCGCTTTGAGAACGATAGGACGATCTCGTTCATTCCCCCGGACGGTGAATTCGAGCTAATGTCGTACCGCCTTAATACGCACGTGAGTATAATATCTATATATATATATATATAGCACGATCTAAATCACCCTCTTATTGGCAGGTAAAACCCCTTATATGGATTGAGTCGGTAATAGAAAGACATGCTCACTCTCGGGTGGAGTACATGATAAAGGCAAAGTCACAGTTTAAGCGGCGATCGACGGCCAATAACGTCGAGATCGTTATCCCAGTACCTGCTGACGCTGACTCACCGAAATTTAAGACGACCATCGGCAGCTGCAAGTACGCGCCAGAACAGAACGCGATCATCTGGACGATCAAGTCGTTCCCAGGCGGCAAGGAATACTTAATGCGTGCCCACTTCGGTTTACCGAGCGTGGAGAGTGAGGACAATACAGAGGGCAAGCCCCCTATCCAGGTGCGCTTCGAAATTCCGTACTTCACCACGTCAGGAATCCAAGTGCGATATTTGAAAATTATCGAGAAGAGCGGATACCAGGCACTGCCATGGGTGCGGTATATCACGCAGAACGGCGACTACCAGTTGCGCACCAACTAAGCTTCAGAGCCCCCTACCGCAGCATCATTCCAGCCAAGCTTCAGCGAGGGGCACCTGTAACAGGCAGCTTCTCCTACCCCTGCGTTTTGTTTTGCGATGCATTGCGTTAAGTCAAAAGTATATTTGTATTTTGTATTGTTTCAGTATATGTATATTGTATGTAAATCAAAGCTAATAAATTTTAACACCTTTTCATAACACCTGCACCGGAGTGGGTCAATTTTACCAGAGTGGTAAAAGAAGTACATATTAAAATCCATCCATAGACCATGAAAAACAATCAATTTAACTATTAAACAATTATTGTATAAAGACACGGTTTTGATTCATTTCCGGTAACATAAAATTGACCCACCCACGCGGCACAGGTGAGTCATAACAAACGGGTTGGACCCACACAGAACTGCTTGACTTTTGCTTAATCATAATAAATGCACTTTCGATCGAGTCTCTCGGTTTGATTTCTGAGTTACTAGCTTCCTTTGGCCACGATGGAATTACTGCTTAAAGTCCTTCAATGGGTAATGCTCTTTGTGCGCCTCAAGATGCTTCTCCAGCTCCTTTTGCTGTTCTATTAGGTGCTCCGGCATCTCGGCGTAGACACCTTCGAACATCTCCCTCCAGTTGGGCTTCAGCTTCTTCTCGGATACGGCGATCTGCTTTAAAACCTTCTTACGGACGTCCTTAATGAATGCAGTTTCCTCTGCCTCATCGAACCAGCCTTTGTGCACCATGTAGCGCTTCAGCTTAGAAATGGGATTGTCCGTAGAGTTCCATACTTCAATCTCCTCACTAGTTCGGTAGGCTGTGCTGTCATCTGAGGTAGAGTGGTGACCCACACGGTAAGCCAGAGCCTCGAAAACCACAGGCTTGTTCTCCTTCAATACATATTCACGGGCCAACTTCATGGCATTGTAAACGGCAAACACATCGGTTCCATCCACTCTTATGGTGGCAATTCCATAACCCATAGGACCTCGCCCAGCGATACCATCGCCTTTATATTGCTCGTGAGATGGTGTGGAAATAGCGAAGCCATTATTTCGGCTGAAAAGAAAGATATTAATAAATAAATTTCTCCAAGACCTAAAAGAGAACAACGCACCAGAAGAGGATCACTGGACAACCCAAGGTAGCGGCAAAGTTAAAGGCTGCATGAGCGTCTCCTTCGGACGCAGCTCCTTCGCCAAAGTAGCAGACCACACATGCATCATTACCCTTCTTCATTTTCATTGCATAGGCAGCTCCTACGGCCTGGGGCATTTGGGTGGCTATAAATTCAATAAGGATTTGTGAAGGCCACAAAGAAATGGTTAACGCATCAACTTACATAGCGGGCTAGAGATGGTGACAAAGTTAAGCTCCCGGGATCCATAGTGGACGGGCATCTGCTTGCCACGACCCAGGTCGTCAACGTTTCCGTAGCATTGATCGATGAACTGGTCGATTCGGAAACCACGCCACACCAACACGCCAGCTTCTCTGTACTGTCCATAGATGAGATCCCGCATTTCCAAGGCTGCAGCACTGCCAATATGTGAAGCTTCCTCTCCAAAATTGGTCATGTAGAATGAGATCCTGCCCTGACGTTGCGATTCGTAAAGGATCTTGTCCATGGTGTTCAGCAGCAGCATGTCCCGGAACATTTTCTCAACCACCTCGCGACTCAGTTGGGGATCCTGGGTCTCGTCCGCAATGAATCCGTCCCGATCCATCACCCGGTAAATGGGGATCGGGGCATAGTCTTCTGGTAGGTTTAGCTTCAGCTGGCTAACGAAAGGGGCTTTTGCTCCGGGGAAGTTGGCGTAGTCGTTCGCTGGATCGGAACTATATTGTCGCGATGATGTGGGCAAAGCTCCTACAACCTGGCATGAAACTTGGAGTCAATAACGCCTTTACTAGAAAATTCTATTACTGACCGTTCTGAGGTGCTGATGCTGCCTCCCCAGGGCGCCCAACATTGGGATCGTTTTCTGTAGGAACGACATGCTATAATAATGTTATTCTAAGCTAGTAAATGCAGGTAAGATGTTGTAAATTCAGCTGCGTGTTTCAGCTGATTACGCAACTGATACAGGTGATCGATAGACTTATCGATCTTTATGAAATGGCGCCAAATTTAAATGTATGCATCTTTGATAAAATATTTTTCTTTCTAAAATAAATCAGGTGGGGAAAAATGTATTAAATAAAACAACTTAAATGACAAAGTTGAAGAAAAATAACTATAATAATAAAGTTAAGAATAATATATGAATATAAATTAAAAGCACCTCCAAACATCTATCGATAAACACATCACGAAGTTTGTTTACAAATCCACCTTGTTGTTCAGCCACCATGTCGTTGGAGGAATCGCAATTTTGGCAAGGTGTTGGAATATTAATCAAAAACTACCATGCTTTGAATAAAAAGATCTTTGGAGTGGTGATAACTGCCGTTGAAAAGCTGCAGGACAGCCATCTGTGCGAATCCAGCGAAGAGGAACTGACGAGATGCCTGAAAGAAGACCCAAACAAACGTACCTGCGAAGGATTTAAGTTAGGATTCAAGCTACTGCCAAAGAAATTACCTGACAACATATTGGGCACTGGAACTGTAGGTGCGAAAATATTACTTAAGTTTAATTCCCATATTTAATAAATAAAATCTATTTTATTACAGACTTTGTGAATCGCAACTACAAGTGCGAGTTTGCCAGCAACATCATCGAAGACTTCCATGTCCGTTTTGTAGACGGACAACTCCTACTAGGCGGCTGCGAGAAGAACCCAAACTGGCTGGAGTTTGTCCTGAAACCAAAGCTTCTAAACTGGTCCCAATCCAAACAAGAAGAGTCAAAAGTCAAGTCCTTGAGTTTGGTAAACGAGGAGCAGTACAATGACCTTTACAAGAAGCTGAAGGAAAAACATTCCCAGCGTTTGCTTCAATACTGGAAAAGAGCACAAGAATCAACGGATCCCTTAAAGTTTATTTACGAGGACTTGGCTATCGCGGCTTACCTTATTACTCTGTGGAGTCACACGCAATCTGAACCACAGGCTTTTGCCGATCTAGGTTGTGGCAACGGACTACTGGTTCATGTTTTAAATGCCGAGGGCTACAAAGGTTATGGCTACGACATCAGGAAACGGAAGCTGTGGTCCCTCTATCCAGAAGACACCAAAAATAGCCTGTTGGAAAAGACGGTGGAGCCCAACAACTTCCGCTTAGACTTTCCCGAAATCGACTGGCTAATCGGGAACCACTCGGATGAACTGTCACCCTGGCTGCCTGTGCTTGCCGGTCGTTTCAATAGCAACTTCTTTCTCCTGCCCTGCTGCCCATTTGAGCTGTCGGGAGCCAAGTTTCAGAGGCGCAACACCAGCATAAGTGCCTACCAGGACTTCTTCCACTACGTCAAAAAGGTGACCCAAGAGTGCGGCTTTGAGGTCCTTGAAGACCGCTTAAAAATTCCCAGCACCAAGCGACTGGCTGTGATTGGATTGAAAAAAAGTAAGACGAGAAGCAGTCAAGAGCTGGAGTGCTACGTCCAGGAAGAACTAAGGAAATATAACACTGGGGAATCGGAAGTGAAGCTGCGTGGGAAGGAGGAACTGGTTCGGAATTGTACGCAAATACAGAGAACTATCATTGACGCACTGGTGCTGAAAATCTTTCAGCAGCTGCTGGCTTCTAAAGATGACCTGTGGTCAGGTCGCCTGCCCATGAAAGACATCGCCCAGAGCCTTACCAAAGACGATCTTAAGAACATCAAATCCGAGTGTGGAGGCATCAAAACACTGCTGCGGAACAAGCATGAGGTATTTGAGTTTTGTGGCGGAGACCTCGTAGGGATTCGCCGGCCCAAGCCACCGACTGCTCCCCAGCTTACAAAACGGAAGCGGGAATGCTTTTTCAAACTCCACCATCCACTATCCTGTCCCCTCTCCGACTCAGAATGCTCTTTTATACACTGAAAAAGTTGTATGTGGTTTATTGTTTGGATTATAATATGTTGTAAACTGAATTTCAATATCATGACTCGTCGGCCCATTGTACAAAGTGGATGTCAAACAATTCTAGCGGGAACTGTCGGAGCTGTTGCTGCGGCGCCGGCGACGAATCGGTGAACGAGATCGACGGCGAGGAGAACGTCGGCCGCGCGGAGGCGATGGGCGCCTTCCGCCACCACCACCACCGCGATTGTTGAAACGATTGAAAGGCGGAGGTGAGCGCCAGCGGTTGCCTTGAGGACGGCGCATTGGGGGCGAGGGTCGGCGCATGGGCGGGCGCTGCTTGGGGATGATGACAGGCGAGACGGTAATCTCCTGCCCATCAATTTGTCCGCCATCCATGTGTTTCATGGCCGACTCGCAGTCGTCAGATGTCGAGTACTCCACGTAAGCCATGCCACGTCCAAAGTTCGGGTGGTTTCGGTCAGTTGGGAACTCCACGGTCTTCACCTCCCCGAAGCTGCTGAATATCTCAAACACATGGTCCTTGGTCACATTGCGAGTAAGTCTCCCGACATGAATGCGCACTGGTTTTGGGGTGGGGGACCTAGTACGAGTGCGAGATCGCGAGCGGGTGCGTTCTCTTCGCTTGGGAGGCGGCGTTCTTTCTCCAGAGCCTCGTCCGCGACGACGTGGTGATCGTGAGCGACTAGCCGAGCGTGAACGCTCTCGTTTAAGGTTGTTATTTTCGACTAATGGCCTGTCGTTGGACCCTGCTCGGCGAACGCGATCTCTGGAGCGACTGCGCCGATCGCGATCCCGCTCTGGCTCCTTGCGAACCTTGCTGGCAGGACGGGGCGACTTTGAGGTCCGCCTTGGCGAACGAGACCGAGACCGTGTACTGGGCTTAGCCTTTTCCTTATCCTTGGCGCCACTTGCGCCGCCTCCGCGCCGACGGTTCTTCTCGCTGCGATCAGAGTCGCTGGATGAGCTTGAAGAAGAACTCGAAGAGTCACTGGAGCTGCTCGAGCTTGAGCGGGAACTTCCAGAACTGCTACGTGACGAGCTGCTATCGGATGAGCTAGACAAAAATTAAATATAAATTAGCATTTCAAATAATGACCAAGCGAGCCCATTTTGTGGGACATGTTAGGGTTAAGGGTAACAAAATAGGGTTAAGATATACAGCATTTTTTATATAAAACCCATGCATCCAATACGATTTGGTGCCGGTTTCTTACCTGCGGCTGGAGTCGCTACTAGATGATGCAGAGCCCCGACGTTTACGTTCGCGGTCCCTACGCGAGGAACTGGATGCCGATTTTCCGTCTTTTTCTTTAGTGTCCTTATCTTTGTTATCCTTCTCCTTCTTTTCTCTCACCTCACCGTCGCCGGCGGGACTCTGGGCACGCGCCCTGTTTGCGAGAGAAAATTGTATCGTTTCATTTGGTATAAAATAATTGTGTGCCTTTACTTACATTTCTTGATTAAGAACACGATTTCTGTCAAGCGATTATAGAAGCCTCCTTACCGAAGAGCTTGTTTAATTAATATATTTCTTTTTTCAGCCTCACGGAGTCAAGTTTTAGGTAGCGTTTTCGGTAGGGATGTGTGGTCCGCCACTTTTGTACCTATCGCATGGTACCAGGGCTGACGAAGAAACGAAAACTATCGATATGTGGTACATTTTTTTTTTAAATAAATAATTTAAAATCATTTCTCATAAAAAATGTATCGAATATATTAAAAATGTTTAACATTTCTGTTTTCTTAATATTATTTTCTAATTGGAAGTTTCTAATTTTGTTTTAAATGTATGATGGATGAGTATCTTCTACTTGGTACTCATATACTGATAGAAAGAGTAAATTTTAAATTTTGGAAATCTTTTTAATTAAAATGATAAAATAAAAAATCATTTTATGATAAAATTAATTAGTCAATTTATAAATAAATGCTAAGAAGATATTTTTACTGTTTCAAAAGAATAAATTTTATAAAGCTTTCAAGCGGTAGCAAAGATTAAAGTGCTTCAGACAAGGAATAGTTAATTTAAGCCGACTTTTAAAATTCAGCAAATATATTCGCATACAATCTGGACATGAATATAAAAAATACAATTTCATTTTATAACTTATAAAGGAATAAAAGTTGCATCATAAAACCGCTCTTTAAATACATAAAATTTTAATTTATTTCTTTACAAAAATACATAGGAATCTCAACACGATTGAAATCGAAAGGGTCAAAGACACCCGGAAGGATTCTTAGGGGAAGGACTCCGGGAGAGTAGGATGCCTTTTATTCGCTGTTCTCGCCAACATTTGGCCCAATTAAATTCGGTTTTAAATAAAAAAGTAGGATGGCCGAAAAAAATCAGAGGCGCCAGAATAAAAAAAACCGGAATTGACAAAAGAGAACGCATCCGAAGAGAGCAACTAATGCACATACATAAAAAATGTAAGCCGAAGAGAGCCGAAAGTACATACATAAAAAACATAAACAAGTATTTTTTATATTCCGAAGAGTGAAGAGAGCAAAAAAGCCGAAGAGTGTTCGGGCAGCGCTGCCGACGGCGGAGGCAGGCCGTGGTTTAAAAGCATCAACAACTGAATAATTTTTTTTTTCGGTAAAAAAACTTCGGCCGGAGAGGACACGACCGAGCAAACATTCCGGCTGTTTTTATTCCGCTGCTGGTTTTTGCTTTTTTCTGCTGCTCGTCGACGTAAACAACCGAAGTCCGCACAACGTGCTCGTTGTAATTGCAATTAATCGCCGTTCGCCGAAATAAAATTGACAAAAAAAGGGCAACCCAGTGCAGAAATAAAGTAAAAAAAAAAAACCAGACCGAAACTACGGATGTGCGCGTTGGTGTGGGTGTATATTTTTGGCGTGCGCGGCCATTTTTTCTTGTTTTAATTCTGTGGGAGCGAAAGAGACGCCAAACCGCAAAGAAAAACTACGCAAATCCGCACTAAAATTCGCGCTAAATTGTGGAAAATAAATCAATCGCCGAGGGCACCGAAAAAACAAACAATCGGTCCTCAAATAAAGTGCCAAACTACACACAATTTCTCTAAGTGAAACACACCTACAGACCCCCTCAACACCCGCTTCCACCCACAAATCAGTTGGAGAACACGTGCTCGCTGAATATTAATTTAAAACTGGCCACTAAATTGGGCCAAAGCTCCTAGCAGAGACACACGGAAGGGACTGTAATATCGGTTAGTATTTACTTCTCAACCCACATTTTGTTTATTTACTTTACTTATTGGACAAACACTGGGAATGTTTGTTTCTTCCCACGCACAGTGGTCATATGTTAGTGCAATTGTGCAAAAATATAATTAGATATGGGGATCTTATGTTGAAAAAAAACCTTTAATAATTCGTAATTTAAATTCATGGCATTATAAAATATTATTTAGTAGTCCTTTTTTCAGTCAATTATTATTTATTGTTTCATAATTACTATCAACCTATCACAATTCGAGTAAAAACTTAAAAATAAAATAAGATCTTTTCAATAAGAAGCCTTGGATCATATTGGAAAAAGAAATGTAAAGAAAATCTTGATGATCTTTTCCCAAAATCACTTTTTTAAATATAAAGTTATAAATAAAAAAAAAACATTTTAAAAATAACATTGAAATTAATGTAACAATTTTTTTTTTCGTGGTGAAATTACCTAATTTTGTTTGATTATTTTACAAAATTTCAATATAATTATCATGTAATCATTTTAGTAATTTAAAATCACACCTTATGCCCCACAGTGCCTTTGCAAAGTTACATATTCGCACCAGATTCTGTAATCTATTTCATTGAAATCCTTCACTATTATACATTTTAAACCCAATTGTAAACAACATGACATAGTATATTCTCTATATAATGAGAGAATATATTGTAAAACATTTAAATTACAATTATTTGGACTTTCGTTGGTCGCTCATTTGACTTTTAATGTTCGCTCCCCATTCATTCGTTTTTTTTTTCATGTATTTTTGTATGTCGTCGTGTCTTTTTTTTATCTTCCTTCTTTTTGTATTCAAAATATTCGCTGTTTTTTCGCACACGTTGAGCGAGTAGAAAAAAAAGAGTGTTTGTTTATGTTGCTCTCTTGCTCGCTCTTTTGTTCTCTCTTTTTTTATTCAGCTGCTTGCGCTCAATTAATTTTCGTTTTTTGTTGCTTGTATGTGTGTGTATGTTGGTTTTTTTTGTGTATACTATTTTATATGATTTTTTTTTTTTGTGGGGCCTGCCCGATTGCTTTATTTTTTCCCCCCATTTGCATTATCAGGTTGATTGGCCGATTTTCCGTGTTGCTGTAGTTCTGTAGTTACACGACTCCCGCGACTTGGTTTTACAGCACTTTCGCTGAAACAAGCTTTTTTTTGGTTTTTTTGCAATTGTTCCGTTTCGCCAACAAACAATTGTTTGTTGCCCCATCTCGCTCTAAATGTGCGCAACAAGCGAAATGTGCGTCCTTTTTTTTTTATATTTACAATACCCTGCCCCTACAATTTATTCCTGTTTTTATGCTATTCAATTGTCCAACAACGTCGGTAACAACAACAACAGGCAGAAACCGGTTATTTTGACCAAAGCCAGCAAAAACACAATTCCAAAAAAAAAAATCCGAATTTACTTCTGACGTCAACGCCCACCCGACCAAAAGGTCGTAATCAAATTTGCGTCCCAACATTCCGGTTTATTTATTTAAACTGTTTATTTTATTTATTAATAATAATAGATTTTATAATCTATGATAAAAAATAATCCCCGGTTTCTAAATAAAATATAATTATAAATAATTGGCATGGTATTAGAGATATAGAGTATAGAAGTCTTAATAAAAGATAACTACTTTTGATATATTGCCTTTCAAAATAAAATAACATTTCACAAGTTAGCGAAATAATCTATTAAAGAAATGAATGAAGAGTACATACATACATACATTCTTATCTTAAGCTCATAAAACCTTTATTAAAACTTTACTTACTTTCAAGCTTAAACTCCATTTATTTATGTATTTAAATGTTTTACCTTATAAGACTAAAATGTAGGCCTTGTAACAGCATTGACCCGCTAGAAGGTTTGGTGCATCACCGCCCTAAAATGTTCCAGAGATGTTGCTGCAGCTGCCTGGCAGTGCAATTGCATTCAGTTCTCGAGGTTGTTGACACGTTCCGTTGGCGCCCCTGACTTTTTTTTTTTCGCCAGTAGGCACCCACTTTTTTCAACCCGCCCCGGCACCATCGCCACTGACAGGCACCACCAGTAACCGCGATTTCGGTTCTTCAAGCAAAACGATTTCGTTTCGCTTTTCCATCTTGTTGTCACCAACAATTTCAGGCCGCAAGCGCCTTTTTTGTTTATCTTGTGATTTTTTTCGTTGACTATTTGTTTTTTGCTCGGCATTGTTATTAATTCTTTTGGCTTTTTGCTATTTGCGCTATACTGGCAGCTTTTTTTACTGGGTTGCTGCTGCTGCTGCTGCACTGTCACTGGGCACTGGGCTTTGAGGCTTTTGTTCAGAATGCAGCACGTTTTAATTCACAAACAATTAATTAATTCATGCACATTTAATGTTAATGTGCAGAAATTAATGTACCAGCAGCGGGGCAGGGAGCGGCAGAGAGCAGAGGGTGAAACCAAAAGTAGTTTAAGCACTTGTGCCGACGGGGCACAATTTTTCGAACTGAAGAATTACAATATTTCTGTATTTTCAGCACAAAGCTTCAAGCCGAATTGTGTAAGTCAGCCAGGCGGCCCGTTGAGTGTCGACTTCCCGTCGACGACTTCATTCCACTAGCAGTTGTTGGCCAGCTCAGCTCGCTGACCACGCCCCCCAAGCTGGACGCTCGCACAATCCCCTACCGCCCGCTGACCCTTGGCGGCCACCAGCCGCCGCTTATGGCCGAACTGCCGACGGCGCCAAACGGCGTCCCCAGCGGCGACTACCTGCACCGATCCATCGACCAGCTGAGATCCCTGGGCCACCTGACCACGGCTCAACTAGTTCACGACTACAAGCCCTTTAACATTAGCGAATTTCGTCAGAATGTGGCCGAGCGCCTGGACTACTCTCTGAAGAATGGATTGCAGCAGCAGCAACAACAGCAAATGGTAATGGAGCAGCAGCAACATCCCGACCAGCAACAACAGCATCTGCATCACCAACAGCAGCAGCAGCAGCAACTAAAGACAAGCTACAGTGCCCCCAACTCGCCGCCAACTCCACACGAGCAGCAGGAGCAAAAGGTGAGTCTCTTAACCCACTTTACTCCAATGTCTATGGAGATTGGATGTTATAGTCTTAAACTGAAACCATTGCCATATCTTCCTATTTCCAGTACGATCCTAGTCGATCGCCGGCGCGACAACAGATGAGCAGTGCCAGTGGAAGTGGCAGCAACGGATCCTCGCCAGAGGAGGAGTCCCGTCGGGGCGATGGCGAGCAGACGAAGCCCTACAAGTGTGCCTCCTGTAACAAGTCGTTTGCCAACTCTTCATACCTGTCGCAGCATACGCGAATCCACCTGGGAATCAAGCCGTACCGATGCGAGATCTGTCAACGCAAGTTCACGCAACTGTCGCACCTCCAGCAGCATATCCGGACTCACACGGGCGACAAGCCCTATAAATGCCGACACGCCGGCTGTCCGAAGGCCTTCTCCCAGCTTTCCAATCTGCAATCGCACTCGCGATGCCACCAAACGGATAAGCCGTTCAAGTGCAACTCATGCTACAAGTGTTTCGGCGACGAAATGACCCTGCTGGAACACATACCCAAGCACAAGGACTCCAAGCACCTGAAGACGCACATCTGTAACCTGTGCGGGAAGTCGTACACGCAGGAGACGTACCTGCAAAAGCATCTGCAGAAGCACGCCGAGAAAGCGGAGAAGCAACAGCACAGGAACACCGCCCCGGTGGCTGCTGCCGCCCATCAACAGCATGTCCCTGCGGGCGGAATCGGCCTGAACCTGCAGCGCCAGGCGATGAACGACGCCAATGCCGCCTACTGGGCCAAAATGGGAGCCGATAGTGCGGCTGCCTCGCTGGCGGAGGCCATTCAGCAGCAGCTCCCGCAGGCGAATGGTCAACCGTATGGTAACTTCGCCTCCCTGCAACAGCCACACCATATACCAGCTACGCAGGAGCTAATGCAGCATCATCAGCGATTGGCCGATACCCCGGGCCATTCGCACAGTCCGCACGAGGAGGCCACGGGAGAGGATCTCGTCTTGCGGCAATCGACACCACAACATCACCTCCAGCAACAGCAGCAGCAGGCGCAGCAGCAACAAGCTCAGCCGGGGCCTGGATCATCGGCGTTTACGCCGCTCACAGCTTCGGTTGCCCATCCGCCGCCGCCACACCTGCAACAGCATCGGGCACCGCCGGCGGCCACTGCCGCTTACCTCTATCAGCAGAATGCAGCAGCTGCGGCCGCTGCCTTTCCCACGCAGCTCATTTCGCTGCACCAGATCCGCAACTATGCCCACCAGCCAGGAGCGGCGGGCCTCATCGCTGGCGATCACCTCCCCCTGGGCCTGAGCGCCGTCAACGCCGCCGCCAAAGAGAAGGCGCAATAGTACAGGCCTGGGCGAGGCCACAAGAGGCACCATCGATGACATTAGCCTTAGGTCAGCGTTTGAACTGGGTTGCGTTCGAAGAAGTGGATGAAAAGTACAAACGAGTTTGTGCATTAACCTGTTCTTAAGCTTTGAAGACAATTCACTTGAAACACTCGATTTAGAGATATGTTAGTCTAAGTAATTAGGAAGTTGGAAGCGGCTGAGAGGCTGGGATTGCTGCTGGTCTCCGCCCGAAACCCTTCAAAACCATCCATATCTGTATACGAATCATCATCACTGCCCGAAGTTCAAGGTCCAACAGCAATCCTTCAGCTTCTCTCCCCTTCCAACACCCAACTTGAAGTATAGTTGTGTGGGTCAACTCAGGTTTTCTATACGATATAGTTAATTATTTATTTCTAAAACTCCCCTTTTAATATCCTTGAGCAATATCGAGCTAAAACTCTGACCTATTTGAACGGAAACCGAGCTCAAATAGATCACAGTTTTGGCATCCACCTAGGGGCCGTACAAAGTACGGCGGTAGTCCTGCGGATTTTAGATTGTACATAAGTGTATGTATTTCTGTGCTGTAAATGTAATCGTATTGTCCTAGATATAGGTACCCTAGATCCTACCTAATTTATCAACTAACTAGTGCCGTAAGGACATTTTCTACGTGTGTTAGGCAACCTAAAAAGTGAATTAATTTGCAAATGTAAAATTTAAAAAAAAAATAAAAATTTGAAATTATTTATAAAACATCCCGAAGATTGTATTAAATCATTAAAGTTTTGTAGTCGACCGCAAGACTTTAATTTGCATCTGGGACTGGGAAATGCAACGATCCAGAAAAATGCAACCTAATCCGCTTAGCATCATCCTCGAGGAGAAGAGAGGAGGTTCTTTGTGCCCGAGGCGACATAAGAGATTTATGTTCACCCCAAATAATCCGAGTAGCCACTGCTGCTGGGAAATGTCGGGGACCGGGTACCGATCCGATCGAGACTTATCTCCAAATTTCTCTCACTGGCAGCTGTCGCTTGGGCTTGAGACGTAGCCCAGAGTCGCAGTCCTAGGGAGTAAGATCTCAACCTGAAGCTACTTTCCCCGGCTCGCAGTGCTTGACTACGCTCGGTTGGCGAATAATGATTGATGACTGGACTGAGAAATGAAATTTTCGGCTGATCGGGGCTGAGATTAATGAAAAATGAATCATTTAACTAGATTCGCTGGGACTTATTTGAGAGTTTCATGCAGTGCCAGTACCTGGTTTCAACTCTGCAGAGTTTAAGTCTTGAGAGTTCTTCAGCCATCACGATTTGCAACTTGAGGCAAGTACTTCAGTATGTGGAGTTCTTGGCCAAAACGTCAAGTTACAGCCAAGATGGATTAGTAAATTGATATTTTTTAGAAACAACCAAGTTCATTCAATCTATGAATATCGCTGGAGAAAAAAAAAATCCCACAAAAACGAATTTCATAGCTAATTAATAAAACAATAAATTTTTAAGTCCCACACAAAACCAGTTTGAGTTGTTAACAGGTGTTTTTTCATTATTATATTTTCTCTTTATAAAGCTTTTTTTTGGGCCCTCTATCTTCGCTGAGCGCAGCGTTTGAATGGAATTATAAATAGCAGCAAATTGTGTTAAATACACAAAAAAAGTAAAATGCTTTTTATGATATTTTTATGCCGCAAATAAACGCGAAATAAAAAACTACTAAAGAGCTCGTAAAGACTGGCCAAACAATGGGGATTGTTGGGAATGAATAAAGACAGGCAGACACCCACAAACATTTTTGATAGAGCCATAAACTCCCGAAAAGGACTTCTTAGCCGATTGTTTTCTTTTTTGTCAACAATGATCAGATTGTGCGAAAATTCGGCACGATCCTTTTTGCTAAAAAGGGCTGTCTCTGTTGAGGAGGCGACAAGGATATCCGACAATAAACCAACAAATCATCAAGGGAGAATTGGCAAACACACCGCAGAGGACAAAGACCCCGGGGCCTCAGACAATAGGACTAAAGATCGATAATCGATCATTTGGCAGTTGTGCAAAATGCAAAACAAAGGCCACAGTGCAAAAATTGAGGCTGCCAAGAAAGGGCGAAATCTTCGCGAACCCTCTCCTTCGAGGGCTCTGCAACCCAATGTTTGCCAATAATATAATTGATAAATGATTTGATTTCTGCCAGCGATCGTCATCGATCATAGGACCATTCAGGCATTCAAGATTCGCCATTCCGGGCATTAGCATATCAATGGGCATTATCATAGATGCACTAATGATCATGGGATTGTTTGGTGGTTATTGTCCCAAGTCGATCTTTGGGGTGGCTTCTCTACTTCGGGCTTTCTTCGGGGTCTGTCTTGTCTTTGGGTGCTGAAATCATCACGAATCCGTTCAGAGTTGCGTCTCATCAGGCTTTGTTATGCTAACTATGGGAAAAAACTGTGGCCCAGGAGATGTCCTGACTGTGTCCTGTCATTTTTTACTTGCAGCTTGATAGATATGATAATTAGAATGCAGTGCCCGAGGACAGAAGGGCATTTTTTCTTGAGATTGGCAGATGTTTGAGGATCCTTTTAAAAGATATAACAAATAGGGCAGTTTATCATTAAAAGTGGTATTATCAATAAATAGTTCTGGAGGATAGTTAGGTTTTAGCTTTAATGAATTACTTGAAATAAGAAGATATCAGAAGATAGATAGAATTGGTTATTTATTATTAGTTAGTCTATAGTAGACTATAGTCTATGGTAGCCTAGTCTATGGTAGCCTAGTCTATAGTATATGTTTATAGCCTGGGATTTTATTCAAAAATTAAGGACTTCCCAACTTTCAATATTCCTTATATTTCTTCTGTTTACTTCTTTCCTTATATATTTTTTTTCAGTGCTCAGTTCATCGGTTAGGGTGAATGCATTATGCAAAATATTTTCATTTAAATATTATCTATACCCTTTCAATGCCAAGAGATCATTTCGGTGCTGCAGAAAGGCGTCATCAAAGGCATCAATAGATTTATGGTTTCTAAACTCGAGACCCGAAATCAAAACACACAGGATAGGATGTTTTGGGAGGTAGAGATAGGACCCTGGCCTCAGATCTCTAGGGGTTGCACGCAAAACATCCGGATCTCGGCCGAAAAAAAACACAAAACCTTTCACCCTGGCAAAGGACCTTCTTTTAGCATAAGAAAGGTCCTTTGGGTTGAGGCAACCCGTTCGCAAATGGCATTTAGTCGGTTCGGCATTCAGCAATTCTTTTGGATAAACTATTTATGAAATTATTAGACAATGCACACAATATGCGGATACACTCCACCGATTAGCCAGGGGCTCGAACCAATCGAACCAAGCCGTATGGAAGTGGAAGTGGAAGTGGAAGGTGTGTATGTTTTTCCCATAACTTCTTGTTCCTGCGGCATTTGCATTCCATTCTCTCCATAGATCCTTGCCAATTGTCCTCCCTGCCAGTGGCATTGTTCGATTCTAATAAGGTGCGATATTGTGAAATTTGATGCGATTTTCGTTAGCTATTCTTATAGCCATATTTGCACCCCTTTCGAATATTCGCACAATCGGATCTATTGTTGAGGTTTCTGGGCTTGTGTTTGGATTGATTTCCCTTTATCATTTCTATTGTTATGTAATTGATACTTGAGCGAATATTGGCATATTGCCAAAAAATAAGGTTTGAGGCAATTTAATTAAACGTTTCGATTGCAGATATACATATTATGGATTATATGATTATTGATAAGGATGTTTGATTTTGGTTTCAAAGATAAAGATATCCAAGTCAAGATATGTTATTTTACACACCTATCACTCCAATCAGAAGGTATTTAATTTTTCGAAAACCAATGTTGGATAAAGGTCTTGGATTTTCTCGTAAAGATTTTCTTAAAAAACCATGTCTTTTGTAATTATAGGAATATGTGTTATAACAAAACGCTGAACTTCCATACGACTTTATCAAGACTTTATTTCTTTAAAATATTTTTTTAAAAACTCCAATTTAAATGTTTTTTAACCCTCAACTCAATTAAAATGTATTTGTTCCCAGAAATCATTCACTTCCCTAGGGCTTTCAAAGTGCTTCCAAGTGTTTACATTCACTCAAAAGCGAAATCCCTTTTTCCATTGGCAACAAATTACAATTTAAGTCCTTGACATCCAACACGTGTGGAAAAAAATTTAACAAAAATATAAAAAAAAACTAAAAATTAACTGCGTAATTGAAAAGAAAGAAGTTGTGAACCGGAATTGCCTCTCACCATAAAATTACGCGATAACAAAAATTGGATTTACATTTTCGCACCACATTTTTTTCTGAAATAAAATAAAAAAAACTACAGTAACAAAACTTCTGTCGAGGTCCTTTTTAACAAACGGAAAAAAAACTTGTCACGCAGGATTTTGACATTTAAAGTAGGGAAGTGAAAAAACGCGCCAAAAAAATCTGAATTCGGTCTAATTATAAACGACTCTTTTTTTTTGGTAGTCAAGCATAAAAAATTCGGGAATAAAAAAAATGGGTTAAAAAACTGGTGTGCCCAATAAAAAGGTCTGCCAGGATGAGCATTGCATCCTGAATATTTTTTTCGGTCGCTGTTTTGGGTGAGTTCACAAAAAATCAGTGAAAAAAAATAGGCAAAGGGCGGCATTTGGTTACCTAATTTGAATATTTGGCGCTGGAAATTTTCTCACGAGTTTTTTTTCTATCCCTGCAAGGCTACCCACAGCTCAAGACACTCAGGACTCAGACACACAGGGCTGAGGGTGACGATCAAGGATAAAGGACGCGCCCGAAGACGCCGACGGATGAAGACAGGAGTAAAAAAATCCGGATTTTTTTGCCTCATTTCCATGAGGAAGCGTTTCCTTGCCGAACCACCAAGGGTGCAAGGACAATGGAACGAAAGGATTTTCTAATTTATGCACAACACGTTCGCGGATCGGACGCCAGCCGTTGTCCTTAAAGGGTTGAATGCGTAAATGAGCGATCCTGTGCCGGGACAACGCTTCGCATTTGCATACACGATCAGGAAGAAGGGTGTTCCCCAGGACAGGGTCAAACATCATTTTTCATTTATCTTCAGTAGAAAAAAACGTTACCAGAACGAAAAAAATCTGTGTTCTTTCAATTAGAAAAATAACCAATTTATTTAAATGTCGTTTTTTTCCTCGAGATTTCTAATGCGCAGGACCAAGGACCAAGGTGTGCTCTGATTTTGAATCCTTCATTATTGGGTCACTTTGGACGGAAACCTCAGTCGCCTGAGGGCCAAGAAACCATCCTGAGTTCTAAGTTCAGTAGGATAATGGGTTACTCCTCATTCAATCACCTCCTTTGGGATATCCTTTTACTTTTCTTTCGCATCTTTTGTCCTTGGCATATTTGTTTATCTATTTTGCATACTTCCTCCTCATCTGATGTCCTGAAAAAGGAATTCCAGGTTCAATATTTGCTCATTAGTCACATTCAATAATTTTAATTATTATAATTTGCTTCCGCTGCGAATGAAACAGGCAGCTGTGTAAATTTTACGATTTGTGAGACTATTCCATAACTGATTTGAAAATAAAAATACCCAAATAGATGACCTAACCTACAAGTATTTAAAGCTCGTTGGTAAAAATTAATCAAATTATACCCTTTCGGGAGATAAGCGACTCCGGATTCATCAAATTCTTTAAAACGTTTTCG